AGTATTTAAATTAATAGTTATTTAAAGTTAATAATATATAATAATAATTAGTTAGGATTAAGGTTAAATATATTATCTATATTTAAAAGAAATAAGGCTACCTTATTTAAGGGATGCTACCCTTAGCCGAACTAACTAAGGTACCCTTAGGTGAGGTGTATCCACGGTTTGGCGCCAGGCTCTAAGGATCAAAGACGGCTAAAATCCAGCCAAATTGGCGGCTTACGTGGTCCAGTCTTCGCGTTTTTGCCAACTATCCCTAGTGCTATGCAACCATCTTATATACTTCATCGTGCTACCGCGCTTGAATGCGTTGGCTGACAGCAGAACAATGCAGATTTGACTGAGCTACACGGGACGTGACGTAATACTTGTTAGTCACATGCCAGCGTCCCGTCGTGCCTTGGGCGCTCATTCGGGCATTGTTCAATTGCGGCGGGGGCTAAATAGGCCCTGCGTTTTCTGGGCCACATGACCCTCAGCAAGCCCCGTTGTTAAATGTGCCTGAAGTACTAAAAACAACGCAGTTAAACTTCGGGCTCGAGGGACATTACATCACTGGATACCCACTTGAAGGCCCCGCGCCAGTTGTCATTGAATTGGGAACAACTTTCTAGCTCGTATTCGCATCTTTCCGACACTTAAAGCAGCTGCAAATCAGAGAGGCAATACACTCTTTGTGGCTATGGCGGTCAGAAAGTCAGGGATCAAACTTCACTTTGGCGCGTGACTGACTTGCTTCTTAGGTTGGCGACGAGGCCCTCGCCGGGCGAGAGGAGAAGGACATCACTCAGTACTTTCCCGCAACGGCCGAAGAAAGAAATATTCACTTCAAAGGCTATTACCTTTCGATTTACCAACAACAAACGGGGGACTACAAAACACACATCGACAACGCAAACCCGTCGACAGAGTCAGCTCCATATAACGTGCCTGCAGGGTATTCTGTGTATGTAAGGGGAGGGACTGTATATTTCCAAACTTAAGAAGACATAGCATGTTGGAGGTCGAAAAAACTAATCAGATGATATCCATGAACATTTCCACACCAGAGAGTGAATGTTACATCTTGAGTATTGTCTTTCGGTAACACAGCGGTTATGCATCCTGTTGTCTCGTAGCCTTGGCTCCTTTCCCATCTAAAGAGCCTGCTGTTCTTGATCGCTCCTTTCAGCGGTTCAGGCAAACGTGACACGCAACTGGCCAGCGCATTCGTATACATGTGTTTCATTTCTATTTGCACAATGTCAGTAGAGCTTCAGACCCGTCTCTAGCGTTCGTTACCTCTGTTGTCATCCCTTGGTGGGCGAGGTACTTCTCGTGATACTGATCCTTCATGGATTTCGCCTTGACGGGATGAAGTTCTGGCAGTATGATTTTGTGATTGCTCTAGTAATTAAGATGTTAGTGATACGTTGTAAAGAGACTGGATGGTTCTTGGCACCTTTATCATTGGAGAGAGCCATCGATTGATCAAGAGTGATGGACAACTTCCGCTTCCTATTTTCCAGATTGGCTAATGATGCAGTACTCTGCGTTGATTCGCCATTGGCCGGGGTTCGTGCACAGCATGCTGGCGATCCTGTTAATTCGGTCGTCGGCAATTTAGTCGATGGCGTCGTAGCGACGCGAGGGGCATCTGTGCTTTTGCCAGCATGTCGCGCGGCATCATATATCTTTCTAAACGGGCTTTTTTCATCTTCTTTGCAATAGAAGTCGAGCCGCCTGAATACTTCTTCGCGGTCGGTGACTAAAATCTGCTGCGATTTGATATATGCCCGCACATGTGAAGCTTTAAAGAACTGGCGAATCATCTGAACTTGCCTCTCGCTGAAACTGATGGAGCAAAACGCCAACTCCTGCAGAGAGAGTTTCGAAACCTCCGAGCAAAATGTATCGCTGTTGACGCTGTCGTTGACTGCTCGAATGAATGGGGCACATTTATTCAAGACATTTGACTCAAGTTGCCGAGGTCCAAGCTGTGCCTTTGTTCGTTCAAAGTAAGTTACTAGCCTCAACTGACTTTGCAGATCATTGATCAACTTCGCCGCGTCGCTAAGTAGCTCAGGATGGCGGCACTCCAGAGTGGTTTCTTATTTGGAGATGATAGATAAGACGGTTTTATTGCTTCTAGAGAAAAGTGAAAACACCAACAAAAACTAGAAAACCCGCATACCAATAAAATCAGGCCAGCGCGCTCATTTCCTGCCCAACCCAACACTATCGCCTTCACTGCTCCGTCTTACGCACGTAACTATCCAAAGCATCATTATGCTCTGCGACCTTAGCCTTAGCCTGCTGTATATAGCTTTCCATCTCAACCTTCACCTCAGCCGGGAGTTCAGGCGTAATCCCGCCCAGATGAAGGTCGTGGAGCACTGCCCAATAGATGGCGTCGACATGGTCCGAGTGGTTAAGCCCAAAGTTAAACCAGACTCGCTTAGTCTTCCAGGAGTTACGCATCACGGTAGACAGCGGCGCCTGGCCGAAGGGCTTTTTTTTTAACTTCAGTTCTTCAAGTTCTTCAAGTTCTTCAAGTTCTTCAAGTTCGTCAAGTTCTTCAAGTTCTTCAAGTTCTTCAAGTTTTTCAAGTTCTTGCATAGCGTCTAGGAACTGATCAAGCACAGGTTTGTACTCCTGTAGAAACCAAGCAAAGTAGCCTGTGTCAAGAGCAGTGGCTGGCAGTACTGTGAATAGCGATAGCGGCGGGTCGCAAGCAAACTGGGCCGGCATAGCGTTGGTGAACTCGAGGTCGAAGACACCAAGGATTTTTCCTGTATCAGGATCGACGGTCATATTGCGCGGATCGAGATCTGGATTAAAGGCGCGGAACCCAAAGTTATCGTGTAGACGAAACTCGGGGGAGTTAGATAGCTGCTTGAAGCGGTATCGGGCCTCGAAACGGAGGCGTGCAATGTCCTCAGAGCTGAGGGGCTCGCACGGGGTGTTCAGGTTACGTAAGTTCCTGAGTTGTTTCGACTGCTGATCCCAAACAAAATCGAGATAGCCTTTGGCGTTTGTGAATCCCCTAGTAGGCCAGTCATTAGTCGGGTAGTTCGAAACCCCAAGAACGAGCTGGTGCATGTCGATGGTGAGGGGTCGTCGCAAGCTCCACTGTCCCGTCGTTTTGTTCCTAACGACCGACCCAATGCCGTTAAACGGCACGCGATAGAGTTCAAGATAGAAAGAAGCGATTTGCTGATAGATAGTCGGCAGCAGCTTTTCCGGAGGTGCGCTCCTCAGGAAATCGCGGAGGTTATCGCCCAGTACCCAGTCCATCAAGATGTAGGGGAGCTTGAGAGGCGAGAGGTGGCCGGGCTCTGTGCCACAGCTGTATACACGGGGGACCGGAATAGTCGTCTTTTCCTTGAAGAATTCGAGCCAAGCGGCTTCATTCGCGACCTTCTCTGCGGCGATGGTTCCGGCTGAGTGTCCAGGTTTAGGGGACTTAAGGGCGATATCGCTGCCGCCATCATCAAAGCTGAAGCGGAACACCCTGTTGTAGGAGCCGTTGCTAATCCCGCCCTGGACAAATCTCGCAGGGCCGCGATCGGTAATATGGGCGGTGACGAACTCTTCTAGAGCATGCATATGTTCTTCCTTAAGGCTATCGTCCCAGTCACGATACTGATCGCTGCCTTCGGCGTAGAGCACAGCATCATAAGGGACGGTAAGCAATTCAGTTTGGTCCATGTTCAAAGATATAGGGAATTGCGCAGGTGAGATAGAAGCGGCATGGGAGCTACTAGGATGTAGAGCTTCTGATAAGAGAGGTGAAAGTTGTTGGCGCAGATGAAAAAGGGCGGAGAGTTCGAATCCCTCGGGGTAGATACCGTGGCCGATCAAGTTCTGCTCAACATCGTTGTCGTAGGCAAAGGATCGCTTGGCTTTCGAGGAAACGGTTGTCGCCCTTGCGGACTGAGTCCGTCGGTTTGACGCTATGGAGGATGATTCGTGTTTATAGCTTTCTCAGTCTTTCTTCCGGCTGAAAAAGGGTGGCCGCTGGCTGCGCGGCTACCCCACGTGACGGCGCGGGAGGGCGAACAGGAACTACAACAATTGAACGTGGAGATCGCGACTTTGGTCGCGATATCTTGCCTTGTGACGCCGCAAGGAGGTTTTCGGGCAGAGCTTACTTGGGGTCTGACCAGTAGTTTCAATCTTTATAAAAGAGAATGAATCAATACCACAATACTCTGCAGCTGGTAGGTTTGGATTCTATAGCAAACCGACCCTAGAAACCCGTCACGTTCAAGTCGCCCTAGACAGCACTAACCACCAAAGTCCTGATCCGACGCGAAAATAGAAAACATGTGTGCGGCGAGCGACCCGTGAAGGGGTTAATTAGTATGGGGTTTCCAGCCTTTTGCGAGTGATACCCCTTAGTTGGTTAGGCGTCCGCGAAAGCCGCGCAACTGCGTGACATCGATTGGGTGGTCCCAAATACCTTTACTCCGGACGAGCTCTTGTAGATTCAGCCAGAGACAAAAAATAATTCCCCACCGTGATAATCGACAATCTGCCCTTTGCGCGCCTCGCATCGAATCTGTAACCGAGAGAGATGTTATGATAACGAAGATTCTCACAACGGCGGAAGTTTAGCCCGCATCGCGGGCCGGGAGCTCGGCGACATCTTGTCCCCAGCGCAGCCTCATGCTTGGCTGCTGGCGCCGATTGCGCCGTGGCCGCCTCGGCCATGGAGAAACTTGTTGGCGCGAGGAACAGCATCAGCATGCGGATCAACGCACCGAACGAGATGCCTGTTGTGTACTGGCATCATTACCTGCCTCCACACATAGACCCTGCAGCCGTTCACGGCCGAGGTATTCTATACTGTCCGCAGTGACAATGCCGTGACCGTTGCGGTGCTGTCCCAGCTCCTCTTTGACTTTCAGCAGCGAAGCGCATGGCAAGACGTGCGTTCTGCCCTCACCACTGGCGTCGTCGTGGAACTCTCGTCTGAGGAGCCGGCTGCATCCACAAAGCGTCCAACGCGTCGTGTGGCGTTGTTGTGGCTAGTAGAATGAATGAGGTGGTACATAGTGTGGCTCATGTTGATGCCCCAATTTACCCGTTCGCGCCGCCAGCAGTCACGCGAGGGAACCCAGCGGTACCTGCCGGTGACACGCTAAAACAAGTACCTACGATTTCAGCTGCTCAGGCACCTTTAGGCACCCACCTACCCGTCTCGAGCCCCTCATCAGCTGTGCTCCACACTACCAAGAGATACATCCAGGTACATCACTTCATGCTGCCAGGTCCACAGCTTGACCAGAGCTGTCCACCAGCCAAGCCAAGCTTATCAGCAAGCCGTCCTTGATCAGCAAGAGTGTCCTCTTGTTACCTTGTTACTCCAAAGTAGACCGCCCCGTCACACTTTCACAAGGCGGCTGCCCATCAACAGTCTGCCACCACCCAAAATTCCTGGCTGGCCACCACCTTGGACCTGTCAAACGCGCCTCATCTCATTCCCCCCCTCCTCTTCGGCTCCCTCTCCATAGTTACATCCACGACGACCCAAAGGCAACCCACCATCACCGATTCACTCGATAATACTACCTACCTGCCCGACCGCACAAAACGACCGCAAGCGTTACCCCATCGACAGCAGCTCCAACCCTATTCCTGGGCTCCGCCGAAAATCACCCAAGCTTGTGATCGGTGGACCCTTGCATAGGCACAAGCAAAAAAAGCACAGAATCGGAAGAAAAAAAACTATACGCTCAGCGACGAAGCGCAACCATCGCAGGAAACGCCTTTATATCACACGCCCCCCTCCGTCGGGCGGCTCTACCCCTATCGCTCCGATGTGGTGGACATTCAGCGTGCTCTTCAGCGCCGTCTTCCTCTTCACTATTGTCCTGTCCATCCCCGTCGCCTTTGACGTCGGCGGCCGGGACTCGGGCCTGGCCTACAGCCTCGCCCTCTTTGTCTACTATGTCGCCTACTCGTCGCTCCGCATCGCCGTCCCTGAGCGCTCGCGCTTCGCCTGGTCCGTCCACGCCTTCCTCCGCCTCTCCCAGTGGGTCGTGATTCCGGCCCTGCTCATCTGGGCCCTTGGCCAGTTCGCCATCGACGCCCCCAGCAGCGCCGGCTGGGTCGAGCGCACCCTCGGCGGCGTCCTCCAGTCAGCCCGGCCCGCCGCCGTCTCGGCCTCGTGGTCCGACTACTTCTTTGGCAAGCATGGCCTGCTCGAGACCGTCACCCTCGGCGTCTGGGACAATATTCTCCGCTACTCTGGGCCCATCTTCCAGCTGCTCGAGGGCTTTTGCACCTTGCTGGTCATCCAGGCTGCCGGCCAGATTACGCGCTGGCTCGTGAACCGTGGACGCAGCGATACCTGGGTGGTGAGTATTCCATGTCGACGATCTGTAGCCTCAAAACTGACCAATTCTGTACAGATTGTTCTCCTCGTCTTCTCCGCCTCCATCATCGCCAGTGCCGTCTACTTTCTCTGGCGAGTCGCCCAGTTCCCCCAAATTAGCAACTTTGATGCCACCCTTATTGGTGTCACCATGACCACAGCTGTCTTTCTCTGCGCCTACGGTATCGGGAGTGGACGCGGCAGTCCCGTCGAGTCGTCGCTGCTCTTTGCCTACGTCGTTCTTTGCGTCTACCAGATCTTTACCGACTACATGCCCTCCGACCAGGGAGCCAACCCCGACGACCTCGGTGTCTCCCAGCCCGAGTTTCCGCCTCTGCCGCCCATCATCATGGCCTCGTACTCGACCGTCATCCACCTCCTCAGCTCCTTGCCCAGCGCCATGCACTCGTCGCTCGCCTTTCTCTACGCCGCCTTCCAGACGATTACGCCGTCCGTCATCATCTCCCTCACGTACAGGCTCCTCGTCTTCTACTGCGCCACCCGCATCATCCCCTCGGTGCGCGACCTCGGCGCGAGAGCGCTGCTGCGAGACCCCGACTTTGACGACACGGAAACTTCCAGCGTCTTTCTGGGCATCCTCAGCTGGTTCTCCCCGTCCATCCTCGTGTCCGTCTACACCAGCTTGCTGCTCCAACACTTTTCCGCCAGCGAAGGGCCTGATGGCTGGACGTTGCGCGCCGGGGACGCGGGCAGCAGCAACTGGCGCTGGATCAATGTTGGTCTCACCATGGTCCTATACGGTGTCGAGCTGTATCTTGGCACTGAGCAACAAGACCATTGGAAGGTGGACTAATTGCTCCTCTTTTCACTTGTTTTCCTTTCATTTTTTTTTCCGCACGATACCAAACTGCTTTTGTCAAGCAATCGGTTCTGGGCATTTTCTTCCCGCTCAGGCCGACATTTAAGCCGTTCTGTCACGCCGAGTCGTCGACTATTACCGCATGAATGACGCGAATGGTCATATCAAAGTTTAGAGCGCATCCCAACGGATGATGATTGTTTTGTTCCCCCTTTTGTTTTTTTCTATCAATAGCACATAGTATAAGCTTCACTTCTTCTTTTTCAAAACATTGGGTTTGGGAATGGCGGTATGGAAAAGGGTGATCTGGAGATTTTTCAATCTTCTTCTTTCTTCTGTAAATCAGGCTTTTTAGAAGCTTCAGAGTGGCGTTTATTACGGTTTTAGCAACTTTTTTTTTCTGCTTGTGGTCTTGTTTTTCTCAGCATGGCGATGGTGATATGTCTTCATCGTTTTCATTCCCCTGTTTATTGTTTACACCCAGAACCATTTCAATACTGTTCTTTTTCTAGACGTCCCTAGGCCGCCCTATGCTGACCACATGCGCCCTGCCGGTGCTTTCGGGCACGTACACTTGACCACACGCTCCATCAAGAACCGCTCCGGGCCCTCGAGGCCTGCGCGGCTGGACCCGGCGCCGCAACCCGGGCAGCTCTTGGCCTCGGGCTCCGGCTCCGCGTCGTCCTTGTTGTACTTTTTGTAGTAGTCGAGGGCCTTTTGGTCGTCGATCAAGACGGCGACCGAGACGCGCTCCAGGGTGTCGGCGTTGAAGTTTTGATACATGACGACGTTGTCAAACGGCTTGTTGACGATGGAAAAGGTGTCTCCGCCCGCGTCCTCCTCGGCCTTTTCGTGCGCCTCGCGGCCGACGAGTATCTCGGGATGCCGGGCCAGGAACGCCTGCACCTCGGCTTCGCCAGTCGCGGTGGTGGGTTGCGCCATGAAAGCGTCTTTTTTCGGTCCGTGTTCTGTTTGGTATGCGATGTAGGAGACTGGGAGAATGGGCCACTAAAGAGCGTTGAAAGTAAGCGCGTGCGAGGGCAGAACAACGGCGCCCAATAGAAGAGTGTCAAGCCTACCCGTTTGAGTGAAGGTGTTGGGAGAAGGACAATTCAACAACTGTTTTCTTCTTCTTCGTCTTTCTGGCGGGATGATGTTGGAAAATCGTCTCTTTATAGTTGTGGTGGAAAATGAAGGAAAGAATACAGTGAAGATAACTACGGAGGGAGAGAGAAAGAATTCACGGTTCATTCGTTTGCGGAGGTGACGTGCAGATCGAGGCCTCACTGTACTGTGCGCCCGCACGCACAGTATTATTTTGTTTGTTTAGCACAGCCGCAAGTATACGTGGCAGGTTTCACTCACAACTAGGTAGACAGTACATAATATAAGTAAAAGTTCTACTTTATAAAAGGGTACAGTTGGTATATATTAACTAGTCTTTGGGAAGATGAATCTGCGTCTTGACGACTGCAGCAGGGAACAAGGTCGTCTTCATGGCGTTGCGGGGGAGTCATTGACAGTTGTTAGTGTTCCGTTCGCCACGCTCATAGATGACAATCAAGCGCATGTTTAATTGGTACGGGCCCGAGAGCACCAGTAGTGGGTGTAGAATAAGCCTCTTGATGTTCTTTACTCACGGAACGGCCCAAGTCGAAGCGCTGCCGTGTATCAAGTTTAGTCATTGTGGGCGACGACGTATCCGTCATACGAGAACAAGCTGGCCTGCAAAGCATCTTCAACTTGGCGATTACGGCTTTGACGTCACCGAGAGCACAATTTTGAAAGTCGGCAATTATGCTGACGGCGAGGGCTGATCAAGACCGCTTCTGCAGCCCAAGACGCCCCATCATCAAAATGAACGAACAGAGAGGCGCAGCATGACTGTCGTCCACCCAACGCGGAGACAAAACTCAAACTGTGTCTTTAATCTCTGCAGATCCTTGTGAGAGGGGTCACGAGGGTCAAAGCCGGCATAGGCCAAGAGAAGCCGCATCGTGCCGCTCAAGTATCAACAACGCCACGACGACGGCACCAGGTTTTTTTTCCGCGAGTAAAAGCGGCGTGATGCTCCCCGTCCGCAGCGGCTTGTGCAGATCTTGCCAACGAGCTGCCGCGTCCAGGGGGTCGATGACGCGTCCGCCCGAAATGCGGCCGTAGAATCGGGCACGCATTGTGTTGGTGGAGGCGCGCCCATCGACGCCGAGGACCGGCGAAGTGCGACAGAGGAGCTTATGGGCTGTACGAGGCAAAAAGAGAAACCAGTGGGCTGCATGTCTCACGCTTGGCGGGAGCAACAGCCATCCCGGCCCCGATGATCCCCCAGACGAGGGCTCGGCACGGTCCCGAAACGAGGCTCGGAGTGGGTACATGACAGTCGATTGGTGGCAGATTTGATGCACGACCTGCATGGCACTTTTACTCAGACGCCTCTGCGACAGCGAGAGCGACGTCGTTTGCTGTTTGCTCGGCGAGGAGGAAGCACTTATAGGGTGGTGGCAACGCAGGTGACTGCTCGCAAGCGTAGTAAGCCACAGTCAGGAATTCAGCCAGTTGGGTTGCACTAAAACTCTGACTTGCATAGAAATCGTTTAGTCACAATTTTTTATCTTGTCAGAAAGGAAGCCAGGCTGCGCTCGGTAGCCGCAGGATTGCCGAGAAACCTCCCCAGAACTAGAAAATGCTCAGCGGATACGTGATACTGGTGCATGTCGGCCCAAGGCCAGGAGTCAGAATACAACTGACTTCTGTAAGCTGACATTTGCAAAGAGACGCATTGCAAAATGCGGGGAGATACCCTCTTCACTCGCGCAAAGGAAAGGCTGCGTGCTTCGATAACATGATGCTTCTCTGTGTGCTATACGCATCCTTATTGATGAGACGCGAGGGCCGCACGAAGCTGACCGCGCGCGGAGGGAGAGCGCCGATCCGAACATGATCGTCCCCTCAGTTGGCTTATTTGGTGCTAGAGCCAAATCAAGTCTATGCCGATGAGAATCATGGACGGCCGGAGGGCTACAACGCTGCACGGTCATCATGCATACAAGTGCGGCATAGATTTGAGCAGCAGGTTAGAAAATGATGGAAATAAAGGTGTGAATGCTGTAGGAAACACATTTGGCCTAATCACAAACGTACACGACTGAATGCACATGTATGTCTAAGAAGTAGTTGCAATTGAGCCGGCGAGGGCAATTCTCCGATGGCGTCTTACAAGTTGTTGCCTGTTCCGTCTACGCATCCGCCATACACCACAACTTACAGAAGGGCAAAAATATTTGCATCAAGAGGTAGTTCATGTTGACAAAAGTCAGTGGCTAGGACCCAGTCACCAGAGTATGATATCCGAAAGATGATGGGGTAGTAGTACATTCCACAGATGCAAGGCACTCAAACGAGACTCAAGATTCGAGGAAGCACCGACGCTGTTGATAGCACAGGCCCGGTGAGCCGAGTAGAGCTAGTTGGTGGTTGTGATGCATGTATGCAACCGCTTCCATGTCTGTCTTGTACATTGGGAATGACAAGGCTCTACTCCGCAGAAGTCGTGGAACACTTGGCAATGTAGCTGCACTAAGCTGACATCTGCTTGAACTCGACAGAACGCAACCAAATAATGTAGTGACGTGGGATTCAAGGGTGTCGGAACAGGTATATAAAGGTCCGTTGTTGCTGCCAATTCGAACATTCAACTCACAATCATCACAGCATCCCGCAGCGACTACCAAGCAAAGACACTCAGAGTTTTACAAGAGTAAGTATAGACAAAAGCGATCCATCGATACATGACGTTAATATATTGTCTCTTGCTAGGCTACACTCGAAACAACCGCCAACATGAAGTTCTCCAGCCAAGCCTTGACCATGCTGGCCGTCATCGCCCTCCACGTCGGGCTCGCCGCCAGCAGCACCGAGTCCGACGTCTTCCTGGCTCAGCACCCCGACATCCAGGTCGGCCGGGACGCGCTCGTCAAGGCCGAGGCCGCCGCGGGCCCGGACTCGTTCAGCATCGTCAACAAGCCGGCGGACGGCGTCGTGCTGTACCAGCACTTTGACCCCGACACCCACGAGCGTGTCTCCGCCGTGGCGCTCGTCGACGACAAGGAGGCCGAGACGTACTACAAGACGTACAACAAGGACGGAGACGCCAAGGGCGCCGTGATGAAGCGGTTTGATGCCGCGGTCGGCAAGTGCAGCCGGTCCGAGCAGGTGCCTCGCGGCTTGTTTCCGCGCGCTTCTCGCTGCGGCCAGTTTTGCTCTCGCGGCCACAGCTGCACCGTAGACCGCCGGTGCCCTGCGTGCCGGTACGTCGGAGGTCACTGCCAGTGGCAGCTGAGCTGCCAGCCACGTTGAAAGATTTGCCCCGAGGCTGGTGCTGTGTGTGTGAATGATGAGCCCACTGTCAGGCTAAGCACGGCAAGCGACGGCAAGATGATGATGAAACTATGTTGATTAGCAGTCCGCAATAGGGCAATGTGGTTGAGTAGGCAGCTAGTTTAACATTGTTCAATTTATTGCTTTATATTTGTGGCTGTCCCGCCGTATAGCACCGTGTTGGGCCATGTCGGACCCCGGAACCTCACGGTTTATAGAATATGACGGAAACAAATAACATAGAAACAAGAAGAAATACAAGGGAAGTAAACAAAAACTAATTTTTTTTTGATTTCGAATTCGTCTTGCTTCGGTCCGGTCGCATCACTAGCTGTTGCCATCATCCCACCTTGAGACTACCCTACAGTCCGCCCACCTCGGCTCAAACACTCTCCATCACGACTACACCTCACGCCCACGCCCACCAAATCCAGCCGGTTCTGCGTCATGCCCGAAAACACAGCCCCTTACCAGACACGCGGTCTACCGCCCATGCCGGCCGTCTCGCGGCAGACCCTCCCCATGGGCGGCCTCCTCGTCGACGTCTACGGGCTCGACGAGCTGCCCGCCGGCGACCGGTCGGCGCTGCCGACCACCTGCCTGTGGCTGCTGCACCCGCGCACGCGGGCGCGCGGGCACATGGCCGACATTGCCTCGCGCGTGCTCGCCGCCTGGCACGCCGCCGCCGCCCCGCAGACGCCGTCGCGCAACCTGGTCGCGCTGGCGTTTGACATGCCCAACCACGGCTCGCGGCTCGTCAGCGCCGCCGCCAACGAGGCCTGGGACGGCGGCAACGCGACGCACGCCGTCGACATGCTCGGCATGGTAAAGGGCGCCGTCGCGGACATGGCCGGCCTCATGGACCTCGTCGAGGCGTACCTCGGCCTGCGCGCCGCCGACGCCGCCCACGTCTGTCTGGGCTGGAGCCTCGGCGGGCACAGCGCCTGGCAGGCGTGGATCGGCGAGGACCGCATCGACGCCGCGGTGGTTGTTGTGGGCTGTCCCGACTTTACGAGTTACGTTGGGGGGGGCTTGACCAAGTACGAAGAAATGCGCTGACTGAAAAAAAAAAAATAGACCTCATGAGCACCCGCGCCGCCGCTGGCAACCTCGTCGTCCCCGCGGGGAGCAGCTTCCTCGGCAGCAGCCACTTCCCGCCGAGCCTGGCGCGCGTGTGCGCGGCGCACGACCCCAAGGCCCTGCTGTTTGGCGCCGACGACAACCACCGCCGCCGCCCCGTGCCGGACGTGCCGCTCGGCGAGGACGACCGGGAGCGCGTGCGGAGCGTGCTCGACCGCCACCGCGTCGCGGGCAAGCGCCTGCTGCTGTGCTCGGGCGGCCGCGACACGCTGGTGCCGGCCGCGGTCGGGCAGCCCGTGGTGGACGTGCTGACGGAGGCGAGCGCTGGCTGGTATCCGGCCATGAGCGTGGAGAGCAGGGTGTATGAGGATGTCGGGCACGCATTCAGCAAGGACATGGTGACGGATGCTGTGGCGTTTTTGGTCGATGCGGTCGCGCGAGGGCCAAGAGAGAGAGAGAGCAAGGCCAAGATTTGAGTGGTGGGTGTGTGTACGGTGATGTACTTATCTACAAGGATGCCCATGTAGAAGATGTATCAAAGAAACGGCTCCGGCGCCTCGGGATCCAGCATTCAGCCGCGTCTATTTTACCAACAGTCTTGAGCCCACTCTACGCTCCTCACGCCCGGTCCGCGGCCATTCTCATCCCGCGTCCACTCCTCTGCCGCCGCCGCCGCCACCACCCCAAGCCCGGAGACAGGAATCATCCTCCAACGTCCGGCAGCGCGGCTTACGCTACGCGTGCACCGGGAGATCCAATTTGCGGCGCAGTGGCCCCCCAGACACTGCGTGACTCCTTGACACTCTGTGGTACGATTCCAGCGACGCAGTCCTCGATTAACATGTCGGGGGGCGCCAAGGCGAGCAAGAAAGCAGAGACCAGTAGCTGGCACCAGTAATTCTAGAGGCGCTCATCAGCAATGAATGAGTTTGTATAGGGACGTCAAACGTCGCTAGTTCTTGTCTAAATGGTATACAATTAAGCGGTGAAACCGTAAACAAATTTACATGAAGTCGCCACGGTTCGCTGCAAACAAAGTCCGAAATGGTATCGATAGTGTACAAGAAAATGAGGAGTGAAAAAAATGCTTAGCTCCTTTCACCGTTGTCTGCATCTGATTGCTTCGAGCCATCCGACTGAGTTCCGGGTTGAGATTTCGGTCGCAGCTCTGCGCTCTCATCTCCTCCATCTTGCTTAGGAGCATGCTCTCGTTTGCGGCGTGCAGGGCCCGGCGGACGTCCGTAAATCTGCGAATAGCTCATAAACTTCATCTCGGGGATGGCGACCCGGTAGCCGCGTAGCTTGTACATGGCGTCCTGGTACGCGGCAATGTGCTCGCCCTGGCGCCGAATCAGCTCCTTGACGGTCCGCACCATGTCCACGCGCTCGGCCGGCGCCGCCCCTTTCCTGGTCGGCACGCCCTTTTCCGTATCGAGCTCGATGCACTCAATGGCCTGCGCATAGCGCGTGGCCTGGTTCTGGTGGTATGCGGCGCGGCTGTGCACCTTCTTCGTCTCGTCGGACACAATGGCCGAGGTGCGCGGCGGCTCCTGGTTGCTGCTCTCGTCGGGGGCGACGAGGGCAGAGCTGCGTATCGGGTTGAGGCGCCAGTGGCGACGCGCCTGCTTGAACTCGCGCGCCTCCGCCTCAGTCAGCTCACGCGTCTGCGCGAGCTGCGTGTAGTACCACAGCTGCGAGCGCCCGGGCCGCATCGTCTTGAACTTGCGCCGCGTGTGCACGCCCTCGGTGTTGTACAACTCGCGGATGAGATACAGGCTGCCCGTGACGACAATGGGGCCCTGCTCACCGGCCTTGTCGCACGCCCACTGGACGGCCGCGTCGACGCTGGGGTCGCCGTCGTAGAGCTGCTCGGGGCTGGTCACGATGGATTCGGCAATCTCCCGTCCGAGCTGGGCAGGTGCCGCCGACGGCTCGTTGGGGAGCGGCTGGTACTCGACAAAGGCGAAACGATCCTGCGGCCGCAGCAGCGTCTCGATGAGGGAGGCAAAGGGTTTCGTTTTGCTTGCCGAGAGGCCCATGATCCAGGTGACGGGCTCGTCGCCCTGGCGCATTTGGTTATCAATGTAGGTCGCGAGAGCCTGGACGCCGAGCATGTTATGCGCGCCGTCGACAAATATGGGCTGCTCGCGAAGTCCATTGGTAAGATCGCGCACCGAAATTAGGTCCTTTCGCCCGGGTGGGTATGGGCGCTTCGACAGCAGCTTGTTGAGGTCGATTTCCATGTCAGGGAGGAGCTTCTTGAAAGCTAACAACGCACAGAGCAGATTTTGTCTCTCATAGTCCTCGAGTTGGTACTTGTCCGCATCAATTGGAGTTAGCAATTCGGTATGGTCGTCGGTCAAGTAGTATGGGGCGCCAATACTGCGTGCATGGTCTGTGAGCACGCGCAGCACTTCGATCGAGTTGGTATGATCGATGACGCAGGGTACAAATGGCCGCATGATGCCGGCTTTGACACCCGCAATCTCTTCAATCGTGTTCCCCAGATACTCTTGATGGTCGAGACCAATCTTGGATATCACAGTGACGCCCTTTTCGTGCATGGCATTGGTGGCATCGGAGCCACCACCCATGCCAACTTCGACAATGCCGTATTTCACGCGCAGCGTATTGAATATTCGGAATGCAACAGCCGTGTCGAGTTCAAATGGCGTCAGCTCGCCAGGATCCTCGCCAGTCTGAAATGTCCAGCCAGAGGCGGCCCTGTGAAACCGGGTCTGCACGCTTCTGATCTCGGACTCGTAGAGCCTTTCGTTTGGATACATTCCATTGATTGTGATTCCATTGCGTGCGCCAAAGAGAGACGGGGATGTAAAGACGCCATGGCTAACACCCGATTGCTTAAGCATATAGGAAAGGAGCGTGCATATCGAGCCCTTGCCATTGGTCCCTCCAACGTGGACTCCTGTCCAAGATTGCTCCTTTTGGATTGCTCGGGTGATACGCTCCAGGCCGAGACGAATATTGCGCCTGTCGCCCTCGAGCTTCCTTTGCGCTGGGATGGCTGTCCTGACGCGGTCCAGAGCACGTTTGAGGTCCCTGGCGGAAGGCATGACGGCCGCCTTGCTGCGAGACTATAGGCTCCGTTCAGGTCAGAATATGACAAACGAAGTGATGAGCCAAGTCGAGCGCTTCATTGACGCTGTCATGAAGATGAGCGTTATTGCGTGATATGATGCTAAGCATGTGACCGATGTGATAGCAAGCCTGAGATTTAAAGTGAGGTCGCCGCGCCACACATTGAAGTTCGCTGCGCCACAGTATGTCGGAAAGTTGATTACCCGCTCCGGACGGGGGCTGACTCGAGTTTTTTTATTTTTTTATGCAACGTCAAGCACCACCGCACCACCGCACCACCCGCACCACCACCACATTTATTCACCCCTGTCGCACGTCCTGGCAACCTCACCATCCCCCGTTCGACTGGCGGCTCCGTTTTTCGTCTCTCCACCAGTCTACAACACCGCGATCACTTCGAAGCTATCACAACACAGCAGACTGCCTCTCTGTCGCGTCGCAGCCGTAGTCGTTTCTTCCTCGTGCTGGTCGTCTGAGCCATTACGTTGCTGCTTTTTCGCAGGCAGCCAACTTCCATTCGACGGCATCGCAGACATGGGTCTTCCGTAAGTGCGCCATGTTTTCCAACCCTCTCTCTGATCTGGCGCGTTCTGCTGCGCATCTATCTTGTGTCGTATCATCCTCTGTTCAATGCTCCATCTCTTGCCTTGTGCGGTTTTATCCTGACTTGCATGTTGCGCGCGCTCACTGCATTGATGCGGCTCAGCTTAGAGAAATAGATGGTTACACGGGCGAGCGCGCGCCGAACAAGAATCCATCATCAAAATGGCAGCCGAGCCAATTCGCTAATCATCCCGCATTGAATAGACTTTTTGTCGCTCCTGTCGAATCCGACGTGGCTCGCAAAGCCGCCCCCAAAAACAGGTCTACATCGCCCTCGCGCACTTCCATCCGTCGCGCCGATCGCCCGAGTGAGCGGGAACGCCAGCGCAACGTGGTTCGCCGCGCGGCGGCCCGAATCTACGGCCCCGTTCAGCGTACACTGGGCACGAGAGACCCCCAGGAGCGGCCGCTGCCATGGATTGAGTCGGATGCGGCGTCAGACTATACTCGCATGGATCTGCGGGAACGCCCGTCTCCCTCTCTTGACGGCCGGTCACCGGATGATACCCACAGAAGCGTACTCAACAGGCAACGTCTGGAAGAGCAACGTCTGGAAGAGCACGTCGAGGAAGCTCAGAGAAGTCAACGCCACAGGCAGTATATGGAAGAGCACATGTCTTCGGTGTTTGGTACCAGCTGGCATGATCTGCCCTATGGCCCTCCAGCAGCAGCGGATAACCAGGACACTGATCTTGGTTGGTGGTCTATTGACCCACAAGGACGAGGCCGGCGCCCGCGAATGGTATGTGCTTCACCAATCTGGTAGTTGCAAGAGTAACTCATTTCTTTTATAGATGACTCCGATCTCATCCCGCTTTACGCGCAGCCCTGACGCGATGGTGGCGGCGCGTGCGCGCACGTCTTCGCCGTTGGCTACAGAGGCAATGTCACAGGCAGCCCAGAATAGTCGCCAGCGGCGTATTCGCGTTTCGCATCTTGCGCGTGACGCGTCCCCCCCGCGCCGAACCCCGGGCAATCTCTACAGGACCTTTGCGGACGGTCTAGGTGACCGCGAGCGAAGTCTCAGCCCAGACGGGTGGGACACGCTGCACACGACCTTGGCGCCGGATCCGCAGCCACCGAGTACAAACACATCGTTTGCTTCAGGGACTGATGTGCAGAGCGCCAACCAATCCGCAACACAAACGTCTAGAGCGCAGCCAGCCGCATCATGGCCATCTGCAGCACAGCCAACTGCTGTACAACCGTCCAGTGGTGGTTCGATACTCCCCGACGGCTTTGACGACGCGCCTATAGATACGGGATGCGATTCAGCTTGCGAGCACTCTGATATAGACGAAGGTGACAATGTGGCTGCCGGGTTTCGCGCTGCATATCGAAGCCGAACAGAGCCTCGTAGTCAAAATTCGACGATTGCGCGTTACGCACGATCCGCCAACCGCATGCGGGAAGGGCCTCCTGGCTTCGCACGCCTCGGTGCATCAAGCATAGCGGAGCGACAGGCCCTGAACGGAGTACCGATACCGGATACCAGCAGCCGAAATTCGGGGGCCAGTCGGGCTTCCATGGGCGCAGGAGGACAGGAGGATACGAACCTGGCGCGGAATGCTAGGATGATGGCATTCTCGCCCGTTGCAGCACCCGCAGAGGAAGACTGGTCTGGGATGCAGCACATCATGCGAAGCCTAGCGCAACGAGAAGACATTCCGGAGGAATGGTGGGCTGAGGCTGGCCTCAGCCGCACACTGTCTCAACAGGGTACAAACTAGGCATTCAGTTGCGCTTCCCAGCAGCGGTCCAGTCGAGATTGTCATTGGGATTGAAGTGCACTACGAAAGTTGTGCGTGGGATACATGATATATTCTTCGGCGCTAATACTTCAAGGGATGCTTAGGCGCTATTTGACGATGGTGTTATGAATTTGAAGAAGTATGCTGTGCGAAGCAGCTCGCTGTACATTATCCGATCTGCATGAATATATGTACGCCTGGGGCCGCCTGGGGTGGGCACCATGAAGTGTGTATTTATGCAGACAAGGCAGTGCATAGTTGAGATGGTCTGAGGGATGTGATGGACGACCATTTTGATAATTGCTAATTCGTACTCAGAAACTCATACAGTATGCAGCCAATGTTAGCAGTTCTTTTTTGTCGCAAGACATGATAACATGGAGTGAGGCGCCTGTGGAGGGTAGTGCAGGGACCTATAAATAGAGCGGGCAGCAAGACAGCAAGGCTGGGGTCGCGCTGGTTGGGCAGCAGAGTGACACGGGGTTAAGCGACGCAACTTGAATCACTAGCTCCATTATGTGAAGCGATATTGCTGGGTAGAGATGTCAATGTGTGTGTGTACTGTTGGACATGCTGCTCTGTTCTATGGATGGGCATAGTCGTCGCAGAGACAATGGGTGGGTGGTTCTTTGGTTGCGAGCTCTTGGAGGATCTTCCTCTTTCAATGCAGCTAAAGTTTCAGTATTGTGCACTGGGCGCATTGTTTCCATACAATTGTTACATTTTACTTAATGGCGGCCTGGCAGGGGCATCTCGGCATGCGACGGACGTTGTGGCGGCCAGGGATGTGTCCAATGGCGGGCTGAGGTCGGCGGTGGCACGAGGGCGAGCAGGCATGCCAGCTGGTTGGTATGCGGTGGGCGGGCATAGTCGGCCTGGAAGATGGGAGGTGAGATTGTGCTAGTTATGTTTTTGTGCCTGTAGTTATTTCTTGCATGTCTTGGAATATCTTGAAGATCTCAGGATGGAGAGGTGTAGGTTGCGCCTTGTTGAGGTAGCACCCTACCTGTAATTTGTACCAGCTGCTGGTTACCTAGGCTGGTGAAGGCTGTTGGGCGGCACTGACTGGCGTGCCTGAGCCGCGGAGCAGTGGCTGCATATGCGCGGGAGGGATTTATCCGGAGGCTCGGAGGGAATAATAGAGGGAGTTTTTGGCAAATAAACATTTCAAGCTTTCCTGCTCTTTTGCTAACTACTCTGTGGACGGACGAATGCATCAACGCTGCGACTCCCTTCAGCGCGGTTTAGCGGCTCAGCTCGTCCAACCCCCCTCCCTGTAAGCACCTGTAAGCACCTGGAATGGCCCTTGTTGTGCCCTGGATCAGAAGCAGGTACCATGTTACTCCACTCCCTTGCTTCGGTTGTCACGACGGAACCATCGACACAACGCACCACAAACCACCATACACGGTCGAGTTTTATTCCTTCTCTGGCCTTGTTCGTCTCTGCAGCTTTGCAGCTGGCCAGTTGAACTACCCCAGCGACATCAACCTCATTGCACCACTCCCTTTGCACCTCCCGCACGAGCTGTCCGCACCCACCAACGTCCAAGCTCACGATAGCCCCGGCCGCCTAGGCACCTTGCCGTTTTTCCTCTCGACAACATCTTTCGTCCGACCCTCCTCCCTCCAGACGGGTATCCGAACCCCTACCGCCGTGCCGCGCCGCGCCTTTTTGGCCATATAGCTGCACTTGAAGCCCTTTCCTTGCGGCATGCTCAGTAAAGCATCCGACAAACCGCCGCCCTCGTAGTAGCCCTGTCTCGACAGTCGACAACAAACATCTAGCTGCGACGCGGCCCTTCCCTCCCAACTACCCACGTGCCTCCCGGCCAAGGCTCAAGGGCCTTTCGCAACGCATCGAATGTGACCCAAGTCGCGCATACTCCGGACGTCGTACCCTACCCTCTTCTCGTTCCTTGCCTTGGAAGCTTGCATTTTCGACATCGGCAAAGTACTCGCTGCTGGACGACGAGACCCGGCCCCGGCCGCCATCGAACCATTCGCTCCCTCGCGTGTGTGCAGCCAAACGAAACTATAGTTGTCCCTCGATCCTTGTGTGATGCCACAACATCCGCCGCCGCAATCTCGACGAGCCGGTTACCATCTGCTATAGAGCCCGCTGCAGCATCAAAGAAGCTGCATGACCCACCCGGCGAGCAAAGAGACAGCGGTCCTCGGAGGCTGGTCGTGCTTTCAAGCCGAGCCGCCTTGTCATGGTAGCCATGCCCGGTGATCGGCACGCCCAATTCGGCGATGGCCGCCCCGGGATCGTGGCTACGCGGGAAAAGAGCTCGGCCCCGGCTACCCCATCCCGCCGCGAGAAGATACGGGAGAGCTCCGCGCACCAAGACCCCATGCTCAAAGATTATGTATGTTCCCAGCTACCTCTACCACGTGTTGTCCGCCACTGGATCTCGGTTGCCATTCTCTAACACAAACCCTGCCTCTAGCGACTTGGAGAGTGCCTAGGCAAAGGTGCATTTGGATCTGTTTACAAAGCCTTCAATTGGAACACGGGCGAGGCCGTCGCTGTCAAGCAGATCAAGCTTGGAAATCTGCCAAAGAGTGAATTGCGCATGATTGAGGTGTGCTACATAACACCCGCCGCCTTCCTGTCGTGTCGCCCCAAGCTAACCACCTTTCCGACTTGTAGAGCGAAATCGACCTGCTCAAAAACCTCCACGTACGTCGCACAGGATGCACCCATCCGATGCTTCTCCCATACTGATGTATCTAGCACGACAATATTGTCAAGTATATTGGCTTTGTCAAGTCTACTGACTGCCTCAACATCATTCTCGAGTAAGCCTTGATCCTTAGTCAATGGATCGGCTGCGTGCTGACTCGCCCCAGATACTGTGAAAATGGCTCCCTTCACTCGATATGTAAAGCATACGGCAAATTTCCGGAAAACCTTGTCGGCGTGTATATGACGCAAGTCCTTCAAGGTCTCCAGTACCTACACGACCAGGGTGTAATCCATCGAGATATCAAGGGCGCAAACATCCTCACAACCAAAGATGGCACTGTAAAACTGGCCGATTTTGGTGTTTCCACCAGCACACTGGCCGGTGGTCAAGACAAGGAAGCTCAAGTCGTAGGCACGCCCTACTGGATGGCTCCAGAGATTATCCAACTTTCTGGCGCCAGCTCAGCCTCTGACATCTGGAGCTTGGGCTGCACCGTCATCGAACTGCTCCAAGGAAGGCCTCCCTACCATAATTTAGCAGCAATGCCTGCGCTTTTTGCCATTGTCAACGATGACCACCCTCCTTTACCAGAAGGCATTTCGGCCGCGGCAAGAGATTTCCTCATGCAATGCTTCCAAAAAGACCCCAATCTGCGAGTCACAGCACGGAAGCTGCTGAAGCACGCTTGGATTGTCGGATGCCGCCGAGCCGCTGCTCCAGTGGCCAAGGCACCTGCCAACTTCAATCAAGCCGTCGAGGAAGTCAAACAGTGGAACAAGGCTCTCAATTCTTCGGATGCCCATCTACGAACTTCAACCGGCTCAGACGCCCCACCAGCTGCCCGATTCCCGGGAGGAACGCCCGCCAAGGGGCCGTTGTCCATGTCCAAGTCCAAATTTGGTGTACAAGCGTTGAAGATTCCCGAGCTTGCCGACAGTGACAATTGGGACAATGATTTTGACACTACCCTCTCGCCGAGTGCGCTCCAGCTGCCACATCTTCGAACCCAAGATAACTTTGGCGGTATGCTCTCTAGCGATCGTCTCAAGGCGTTCGCTTCCGCAAATGATTTACGAAATGAAAATAGCTACGATGATGACTTCGAGGGCGAGCTACTCACGATTAAAGGCCCCTCACAATATGACCTAGACCTGCAACAGCAAACCATTCGACCAATCTCCAAGGCTTCGGCGCAGGTTGCCGAACCTAGGAGGCACACTCGACAAAAGTCGATTCCCGCGAACTCCGCAGGCTCCGCCTTGCAACCGACAAGATCTCCCCCCAAGGCCCATTTTGGCAACAAGTTTGAATTGCCGACACGACACGATATTGCCTTCCGTGAACAGAGCGCCGAGGACTATTCCGACTTGTTTCTAGAAAACGACAATGAATTCAACCAACGAGTTAACCAAGTTAAAAAGGTTTGTACACCAAGTGTCATTACAAGCAAGTCTTTCTAACGTGATTAGGGCATTCGCGGTCCGGACTCACCCCAGTTGTTCCATCCTTCAGATCTAACAAGCCTTCCACGCTCCATGCTCGCCCCCGATGGCGGCAGTATCAAGAAAAAGCCTGCTGCCAGACCCTCAGTCCTACCTGATCGACCAATGCGACGCACGCGGTCATCTGTGGAAATTCAAAAGTTTGCCGAGGACGACGATGAAGACTTTTCAGATGTGTTTGGCCCCGAAAGCTCCAGTGCTACTAAGCCAGTCAGCGAACGTGGCTCTGAAGATGGTGGCTTGATGCTACTCTCCAAGGTGTCAAGCAACTCTTGGCTTGGCGACGACGAGGACGAAGACGACCCGTTTGCGCTGATGGATCCTGGTTGGGATGAGATGGATCTGGAAGCAAATATTGCTCGTGACAGACACGCGCGATTAGGAGAAAAGGTGGAAGATCTGGTCCGATCTCTTACAATGGAGCAAGGCGAAACGGCTCTGATTGAAACTGCAGAAGATTTACTTTCTCTGCTATGGGAGAATACAGAAGCCAAGAATCTCATCATCAGCGCCCACGGCCTTCTCCCCATCCTCGAGATTCTGGAACCTTGCACTGTCAAAAGTAAGCAGTATATGATCCTGCAGCTTCTGAAAGTGGTCAATGCCATTATTCTTGATGATGTCGAAATCCAAGAAAACCTCTGTTTCGTTGGTGGTATGCCCATCATCACCAAGTTTGCCGCTCGACAGTACTCGGATGAGATCCGCCTTGAGGCTGCGGCTTTCGTGCGCCAAATGTACCAGACGTCAACACTGACACTGCAAATGTTTGTGTCTGCCGGTGGTCTCAACGTCCTCGTGGAATTCCTTGACGAGGACTATGATAACGCCCGAGATCTGGTTCTCATTGGCGTCAATGGTATCTGGAACGTCTTTGAATTACAAGGGCCGACACCAAAGAATGACTTCTGCCGAATTTTTTCGCGGAGCAAAATTTTGTATCCTCTCGCTCTCGTTCTGCACCGCGTGCTAGATGAAGAAGGCGAGGATGAGCTTGGAGAGCTCATCGAGGGTCGCATTGTCAACATCTTCTACCTCTTCAGCCAGGCGGAAAACTACGTCAAGGAGGTTGTGGCAGACCGACAGGTGCTCAAGAGCGTTCTGAAGGATTTGCGCCGCATGACTCCGGTGCATCAGATTACGATGCTCAAGTTCATTAAGAATCTGTCCATGCTGTCAACAACGATTGAAACCTTGCATTCCGCTGATGCCATCGAGTTTCTCATTGACTTGCTCGGTTATAGCATGAAGAGAGGACAGATACATTTCCGCGAAATGTCGAATCAAGTCTTGAATACCCTTTTCAACCTGTGCCGTCTAAGCAAGGAACGCCAGGAAGATGCCGCTGTTGGCGGCATCATCCCGCTGCTTCTGCGCATCATGCGCACAGATCGACCGCCAAAGGAATTTGTGCTGCCGATACTCTGCGACATGGCACACTCCGGGTCCAAGGGCCGTCGATACCTGTGGCAAAACAAGGGTCTCGAGTTTTACGTGTCCCTACTGACTGACCAATATTGGCAGGTCACAGCGCTTGATGCCATTCTCGTATGGCTGCAAGAGGAGACGGCCAACGTGGAGAGCCACCTGATTGATGGCGGCTTCACAAGAGCCATCATCAGCGGCTTCAACACGAATCGTCTCAACTCTTTCGACTCCAACCTCCTGGAGCCTCTGCTCAAGTTGCTGCGCCTGAGTCCTGGCGTCGCCGCCTCGCTCGCCAAGCCAGAAATGTTTGCGGGCATCGCGCAGCGACTCGGACACAAAAAGGCTGTCGTTCGTTTGAATTTGCTGCGTTTGGTGCGCACCATTATCGATACCTGCGACACCGTCCTTGGCAAGGGCGACGGCACCACGTCTCTCAACAGCGCTCAGGTACGATCACTGATGGAAGTGATTCAAACGCTGGCCGAAATTGATTCTGCTGTTTTGGTACGAAACCTGGCGGCAGAGCTGGTGCGATCCCATCTCGAAAGCCGTCCCTCGCCAAGCGCGGTGATGCGCCATGACAGCATCGCCTCTTCCCAAACCAACTCGGCCTCGTCTTCGCGACGCTCCGCCACGCGACGCAACACCAGCTACACGCCCCCTAGCCTGCAATCGTCCATTTCCTTTCCGCAGACGCCGACCCATCGAAGCCGCGCCAGCCTCGCCGGCAACGCCCTTATTGAAGTCGCCGCCAGTCCCCGGCGCGTCGTTGCAGGCGGCAGTGGCGGTAGTGGCAGCGGCGGAGGCGGCGGCGTCTTAGACCGCGACAACCTGCTGTTTCAGCAGTACCGCCCGCGGAGCCGCGACGGCACCAACCTACCGCGGCGCGTCAGCGGCGACGCCAGCTCCACGACGAGCAGTCATAGCAGCAGCGGCCTCATGATGCCCCCGTCCTCTGCGTCCTCGGCGGCCAAGAGCCGTCTGCCGCGGACCTCGCTGGCCAGCATCACGTCTAGGGGCGGTGTGCTCGGCACCGGCATCCGCGGCGAGCCCGCGCCGCCCATGGTCGTGCGTAGCGACAGCAGCGCCAGTAATAAGGAAAATGGCAGTGGCGCCAGCAGCAGCGGCGGTGCGGCGGCCCGCATGATGATGGGTCCCTGGGGCGCCGCAGCAGCCATCGCCGGCGCTGGTGGGGGAGCAGCCGCCGCCGCCGCAGGGAGCGGACGGCGGGAGAGCACTGCTCGGGAACCGACTAGCAAGAGACGAGTACACGGGACTAGCGATGCCAGGTGGTGAAATGATGAGGCCGACAACCACACACGGCCATTTCAATCAAGCCATTAATATAGCTTTGCCAGGGTGTTGTGTTTTGTTGTTCCCGTGTATAGATGGGAAGGGGAATGAGGATATATTTGAGGGGATAGATGGGTAGGACGTCTCGATGCAAAACAACCGGCGTGACAGCCTAGAGGCACGGGCGATTGTTACGTTGAAGAGGGCGACGGGCGTTTTTGTTCCAACATTTGCATCATTACCAGTTATCTCTGCCTTTTCTTTCTTTCTTTTATATTGGCCAGTACGGCGGGCGGGGGGAAGGGGATGCAACTACCATTGTTATGACCGGGCAGGAACTGCCAAGTTATTGTTTTACGTGGTTTATAGACCATACCAAAAGGAAGGGCGAAACAAAAGGACGGGCGGGGGTGGGGGGCATACAATCCAACATACATTTTTTTATTGACAGTATTATATCCGCACGATAACCCCCTTTTGTTGAGCGCATAGTTCCAGTATAGTACTAGGTGGGCAGCGAGGAAAAAATGTTCGAATAGCAATATACTTGATTATATCCCCTAGAAACCCACCCAAATAAATTATTAAGGGAGAGAAATGATGCGAATCAAGGCCAATAAGTTGTGTATTATGCCGGTTCTAAACTACAGTTTTCCTCCATGCGCAAGCTCTCCAAGACAAAATAATCTTTCCGATTCCAAGTAACGGATGGACTTACCAGCGTTAGACCAAGAATACAAAGAAGAGTCATTAGACAAGGAGAAGCCAAGAAGAGAATAATTCTTTCAAGAGGTGAAGAAAAATGAGGGTTACAAAGACAAGTCCCTCCAAAACAACCATCGAATGTCAATTCCACCACTGCGCTGTCCAGGTCCGTTCAACGGATGCCCTGGACGGCACGCAACCAGGCCGTCTGTTTCCAGAGACGAGCAAGTGGGGGAGGAGCTATACGCTAGGTCTCCTCGTCAATGTTGCAGAGAAATCTCGAATCCATAAAAAGAAAAAGAGAAAAACCAAAACATGGCTTTCGTTCGTCCACTATTCCTCCTCTGTAATGTTCCAAGGGAAACCATTCCCATTGTGCAAGGCCGTAAAATAATAAGTATAATAATCCATGAATGACAGACCGAGAAGTGAATTATAGTTGGTTGGATAGTTATGTAGTCGCCAGCAACTGTCGAGTTGCATGGACGGCGCATAAAATGAGAGAAGAAAAGAAAAAGAAGAGGCGAAAATTCAAATGCAATCGGGTAATCCGAGCAATCATATCACCAGTGTCCGGGCGTTAGTCGTAAAGATTAAAACAAAAAAATGAACATGGAAAAGAAAGGAGCAGTCTGCTCAAGCCGCAGGGGTAGCCTTGCGCTTCTCAACGCTGGTGAGCACCATCCTGGGGGCCTTGCGCTGCACGTCATCGTTGTCCTTTTTGAAGACGTTGGCAAAGCTGCCAGTCGAGTCCGGGTCATCGCTCTTGCGAGCCCTCTGACGAGAGCCAGGGCGATCAGAGCCAATAGCTCCCCAGCCGCCGCTAGCTGAAGTCCTGGAGCTGGTACATTCTTCCTCACCAGCAAGACTGCCGGAGCCGCTACCCCCAGAGTCTGAGTCGTTATCAGTAATAGGAGAGCCAGAGTCCTCGGCCGTCTCGGAAACGGGGCTCATGCTACCGGAGGAGCTGCCAGTACACTTGCGGCGAGACAGGCCAGCGCGAACCAGGTTGTGGACAGCAGATCGTCGGGTGCGTGTGGCGAAGTTCTTGGAACCCTCGTGCTTGGCGGTGGGCCTGGCCTTGAGCTCATCGAGAGAGGGCGGGCCACGGGGCTGACGAACAGGGTGCTCGCCAGCACGAGCCTGGCCAGGACCATAACCACCAGTCAGGGGAGTGATGGGGAAAGAGGCCGTCTTGGGACCAGCAGACTTGGGACCATCCGAAGCTAGGGCAGAGGCGAGAATACTGTTGACGGGCGCCAGAGACGAGGCCTTCTTATGGCCGCGACGAAAGGCATTGGCGGAGGGAGGGGGCAGAGGCGTCGTGTCCGAAGGAGAGTCAAATCGCTTAGGAGGAGAGACGCTGCGGAGGGAGCTGCGATGAGGCTCTGGAGGAGGCGATACCTGGACGCGAGGCAGACCTTGCTGCTGCTGCTGCTGCTGCTGCTGGAGTTGAAGCTGGAGCTGCTGAAGGGAGTTGAAGGACGAGGTGCTGCTATCGCGGTAGTGCATAGGCGACTGAGCAGAAGCACTGGTGTCGACAAAGTACTGGCCAGTGGCCTGGTTGAGATAAACCTGCTGGCCCTGGCTCATGGCGGCTTGTAGCTGCAGCTGCTGTTGTTGTTGTTGCTGCTGCTGCTGCAGCTGCTCAAAAGAGGACAAATGGTGCAACTGAGGGCCGTTGATGTTGAGGTTTTGGAACTGCTGCTGAGCGGCGTGTTGGGCGGCGGCAGCCTGCACATTTCTAAGCTGCTGCTGCAGAAGCTGCTGGCGCTGGGCAAGGTACATGTTTGTAGCAACGAGCTGGGCGTAGAGGTTCGGGTCCTGAGCCTGTTCCTCCATTGAGAGCTCAGGAGGGGCCAGGACCTGCTCAACAGCGAAATGCTGGTTCACGGCGGACTGGTAGGTGGGCTGCTGGTGCTGCTGGTGATGCTGCTGCTGAGACGTATACTGAGGAAAGGCCGTCTTGGGAGCGTTGTAGTAGGTTTCCTGGGAGTATCCGTGCAGATTGGCAGCCATGCTGCTTCTAGCAAACTGCTGGGCTGTGGGCGAGGCAGGACCGAAAGAAGTAGCCGTGGAAGACTTGGGTGCGGTGCGCAATCCAGCGAGGAGATGAGACCTGCTAGTTCTCGGGGTAGGTGCGCCGTTGTCGTGGACGGCTTGGTGATTGGCGCCATCAAATGAGAGCGGCTTGATGTTGTGGCTACCACGGCGGGAAGAAAGGCCGGCAGGAGCCATGGGCAAACCGTTGCCGGGCTGAGAAGAGAAGTTGTTGGAAGACATCTGAGCGTGACCACCAGTGTACATGGCTCAGATAAGTGCGTATAGAAGAGAAATAGTAGGAGATGAGTTGGACGATTGCGATGGATTCCGCGGCCTGAGTTAAGAGCGTTCAAGATGCAGAAGATGAGTGGTGGCGGGAAGTCAAATTATATCTCGGGCCGAAAAGATGACGGATGTAGTTTTGTAACAGAGTCGAACGAAACAATGGCAGGCGTCGAGGTTCGAAAAGCGTCGATGCTGGGATGCAAAATCCAAGAAAAAAAAGGAAAAAAGGGCGGTAGAAATAGAGACGCTGTGGTGAAGCGAAATAATGTCGGGGAGTTCCGGGGGGCGATAGAAGAAGACGAGAAAATTATTGAACCGACGAAGAGTAGATGAGCCACAAATATGGCACAGTCAACTGTATCTCACAGGGAGCTATGCAGGAAATTAAGTATGAGGGGACGCCGTGTGCGTGGATGGCGTTTGTGGTAGTTGGAGGAACAACGTGGCGACGTGGTAGCGGACAGTTCCAGGACGCGGACAGACAGGCAAGCGGCTGCAGGTGGTTGAGGAAGCAAGTCGGAAGCAGGCAGAGAGTCGGCAATGCGAATGGACAATATATCGAGACGCGATGGGGATGTCCGAGGCCGAGGCGTTGGTGGCGAGATGGAAGAGATCGAGGTAGAACCAACAAACGGAGCGAATATTGTGGACGGCGTTGGAATAAAATACAGATGAAGACGAATCCTTTTTATTTTTGAAAAGAAAAATCCAAGTCGAGAGTCGGGAGGCGGAAGGCGAGTGAAGCTCTGTTCAAATTGTGGTGGCGAGCTGAGTGGTGGTGATTGTGAGTCGAGGCGCGTGAATGTGCGGCAAAAGCGGGAGCGCGCAGGAGTAAGTGACTAGATTTTGGGGATCTTGGTTTTGCGAGGAAAGGACGAAAAGACTATGTAGTCGAAAACGAAGCTCGAACGAACAGAGAGGGGGCTGCGGACAGAGGGGTATATTGGGAGAAGGGGAGGGGAGAAAGAAGGTGGAGGAGAAGGGGGAAGGTCGGATGGGTGGTGAAGGGGAGAAGGATGGTTGAAGAAGAGAAAGAAGCAGGAGAAGAGGAGAAGAGGAGGAGGCGAGGCGAATAATAAGGACGAGCCGGGGGGGCGGATCCAATACCACTGCCCCGGGGGGGGCCAAATGTCACAGTGGTTTACAGTGGATGATGCGCCGTGCGACAGAGGGTGTGGGCGCTGTGCGAGGACTAAATGCGCTGTAATTACAGTGGGTATCGCTGAACACATCTGTGGAAAGAAGAAAAAGAACTGCCAGGGGGAAAAACAAAAAAAAACCCAGGAACCCACTGGGGTTGGCCGGGCCAGCACACAAAAGGGGCCCAGGTACGGGTATTTGCTGGCAGGCACAGAGTACTACCTGTTAGAGTGAATGGGTTCTTAGTAGCTCAGGTCCCAACGCTGTAATTTGTAACGGTTGGCGGATAGGGCAGACAGTCGGGCAGGCATGTTGACGACAACTATATTGTCCATAGTTATGGTGTGATTGTTTTCTTCATCCGGTAATTTGTAGTTTGATTAGACTGAGTATTCTGATAGTCTCGTCTATTTTCCGAAATATACCCAGTATGTTCCACGGGCTTGCCCTCCTCCCGATGCGCCCTTATTAACCTTGTACCCAGACCCTGGCAACCATCTGGCAGCCAAGTCTGGCCACTAAAGACCGCCGCCAGGGCAAGAGTGCGGGGAGGCTGACGGCGCCGGACCAGCCAATAGCAACGCCGGACCAGCTTTTAGGCGGCCCTGGCTCTCTCCAAGATGCGCTGCTTTGACACTTGACTGGTTGACTGGCTCGCTGCCCGATGGACGGATGGAGGGTTGGTGAAAAATAAAACTAAAAAAATGACGTGCAGCCAGCAAGCGCTAGCCCACTCATTCACTCATCACCCATTCACCGCTACAAGGGTCCCTTTTTTTCGTCTTGTTCTATTCGTACCAAGTACGGATACTGCCAATGCTACTGGCAGCGCTAACTAATTTTTTTAGGGTAGGCTTCGCTCAGGGGCGCAGTGGGGCGCGCTACCGGTTGCTGTTCTGGTACAAGGAAAACCGCATTCGCCTGCAGTCAGTTGTTGTAGTTATTCTCGTCCGGTGTGGCCATCTTGACAATTCAGCCCAACGAGACGAGTCATTATCTAATTGGTTCATTATTTACTCTTATTTGTTAGCATTGCAGACTTGTCTCCATCCTCTGCATTTCTGCATTTCTGCATTTCTGCATTTCTGCATCTCTGCTCAGGCGTCAGGTCAGGGTTCAGTCGTCCTGCACTTCGGTGGATCGCCTCTGCTGCCTCGTGACGCTTTTTTCTTGTGATCCTCCTTGTATTATTTGGCCTCAACCAGTTTTTCATATGCCGCTTCCACCCACTTGTTCATCACCACATCGAACGCATTGTTTCTTCTCTGCATAATCTATCTCACTGCCGAGTCTCATGCATGAACTTGATTCTTCTCCTTGCCTTCTACTGCACTTCCTGCCCCATCGCCCCAACTCGGTCTGCCCGTACCATCTGTTCACCAGTTCATGCTTCTCTCCTCTAGTCACACGTCGCACACTGCTTCAGGTTTCTCGTTCATGTAGCCCGCAACCCTAATGTATTCGGCTTCCGGCCGCTGCGACTTGCCTTGTTTACTTTCCAACGGCCCGACTAGGGTTAGGCGCCTGTTTTCCGCGCAACGCCTTTGCGCCTACTGGCGTTGCGTATTCTCTAGGGGTCTCCCCATCGACTTACCCTGCACCTCACCTTCCGTTTGTCTTGCCAGCTGGCGGGACAAACCGCCACCTGACACCATAATAATTATTGTGCAAACGAAGTGCTGCACTCTCCCCTCCCTCCCGCAACGTCGTGTCTTGGTTCTCGTCCAGTTCAGCCGCATTCAGTCTTGCCTACGACTCAGCGCAGCAATCATCGATCACATACCGGATAGTCTTATCGACACAAACCCCGAGACAGCGTCATCTTCACTCTCTAGACAAGCGCGGAATACAAATTCCGAATTCATCTTATGCAAGAATCCCTTTGATCCCGACTCTGTCAAAAGACTCAAGGAGCAGCATCTCAGACAATGCTTAGAGCATCGCCTTCATCCAAAACATGATGCAGCCAAGGATCGTCGCGTCCCCACGCAGCCCATGTTTCATGCTCGCCACACCAACCTCTGGCTGCCACTCGACCCATCCCTGCGGCACTGCCCTTGTCGCCTTGCCCCTCGACAAGGCTACGACGCTTTGGCTGCTCGCGAGCTCTCCGCTCAGAGTCAAGCAAGACAATCATGACTTGTGAGCCAGCCAAAGCAACGGCGCAAGTCCGCGGCCAACATTCCTCAGCCCGAGGTGCGTCGCAGCCCCCGACCGTGTCAGGTGGCCCGTTGGCGACCGAGGACTCCGCAACAGCACCATTCCACTGGAGTGCTTCCAGGGCCCGAGCCGCTCTACTGCCGCTGGAGCCACACGAACAACGCCATGTGAATATACAGTAATTCGTACGTAACTACCGAGTACCACTACCAGTCTGGACACAGTCTCGAACAACAAGACCCCCGCCAAGATTCGTATCCCACGATGCTCTATCAGTATGATGCTACACAATGCTCCCCAGTTGAGCCACAAGCCAGCCTCGCTTCGAGTACATATCGATAAATCGACAACTGGTGCACGAGCAAGTCAACCCACGGCCTTTTCAGCCCTTGCTACAGGCCCTTTCATTTCCCGTCTGCGCTAGGCCCTGCTAAATATATCTCGCCCCCCTTGCCATATCCACCTGCCACCATCTCCCAGGTCAATTTGGCAACACGCGAGCCGCCACCCTGGCTTTTGCTTTTTCGACCCTTCTATCGTCGCCCTCCCGGCATAATAATTGTGCGCAAACAACACACAACTACGGATACAACTCTCAGCAAATGCGCCCGCATGGACTCGCGATCCGGGCTGAGACATGTCGTCTCCTTCCCGCCAAGCCCCGCGGCATTGTCACCATTGTCCTGGCCGTGTCTCATTGAGACCCTTGCCGGAACGACGAGGGGAGACGTACTCGAGCGTATTTTCCCAGGTCGCTGCTCGCACAGCGATGCGCATCATACAAGGAACACACAATTCGATGCCTTTTCCTCGATGCCGCCAGCCGAGTCTTACTGCGTCTCGGCGCCAGTGGCTCTTCTTTGTATTGCCCACGTTGTGTAGATCCTCACACACAGCATTATGCAGTCTCAAGCCCTAACTACCGGCATGCACGATTCACGTTTATAACACCACCATTTTATGCATCATGTACACTGCTCGCTATCGCATCATCTCAGCGACCCTTGAGATTCTGCAATGTTCACTGCTTTACGCATACCTTGTTTCTCGGCCTTATTACTCTCTACCTTTGCCTGCTCAACGGAACCAGCCACATGTGTCGGTATTTCGCCCTTGTACTCCTGTGCACAACCAGGCAAGCAGGCAGCAGGTTGGGTTACGCCGCGGTTGCGATAACCTGTTCCTCCCATCCCAGCACCCCGCCATCCCGCCTCCCGCCTGCCCGCTAGCCTCCAAGAACAGGAGGGTTGTACCACCTATCACAATCCATCCCGTGTGGGCTCCCATCGGGCGCTTACAGCTGTCATACTGCGACCAATCACGACCTAAAGACTAGGATGGCTGTCACACCTCCCTCTGCCAAACCTCCCTCAACTGCCACCATCCCTAGTTAGAGGCTTGCCCACTCGCAGGGCATTGGTCCATGCTAGGCCCTGTTGCCAGCTTGTCTAACTAATCGTGGATGCTGGGCGACAATGGACATGCACGACATGGACATGGTCATGGTTCTCAGCTGTGCCATGACTCCCCCGCGTCCCGCACGAGTCGACTGGTCTTGCGACGGAGCAATGCCCGCATAGGCAAAGCTAAATATCATTCGAGTCTGCATGACCTAAGCTGCAAGAAAGTCAAACTGTAAAGCTCGTCTGTAGTGGTATCATCACAGCAAGCTACCGGAGAGAAAAGTCCGCCCGCCACCTCCCTACCTACAAATTGGTAGACACAGTGATCAAGTGCGGATATGGGCGGTCTTGAATATATCTTGCACGTGTACGTGTGACATATGACGAATATTTGTGCTGCATGCCGAAACAATGGCAATGTTTGGGACACATTTATTACGGCCGAAAATGGAGGCCGGAGCTCACAACATGCATCTAGAAACACGAAAACGAGACCAAAAGCACCAGGAGAGCAATCGACATATATCTCAAAGCAAGCCAATAAACAGGGCTGACCAATGGATCTTTGATATGACTGTAAGAAAAAGACTCTCTGTACTCACTCCGACATGAAAAGCAGAGTACACCGGTCACTCGGCCACGACCAGAGTCACCAACTCCATATCAATGTCGCTCGACTACTATGACGGACGGCAAATTTGGAAGGAATGGACTCTATTCGCAACATCCGAACGTCCGCATCGTCGCGGGTCCGGCCCGCCCACCCGGGACCATTTTTGCTTATTATTCTTCGAGGCTATATCATCTGTAGTCTGAAACGAGATACGCCATACCAAAGAGCTTGGTAAGCTTCTCGCAACGACCCTTTTTTTCTTTGTTTCTTTTTTGGTCGGGCTTGCGTAGAGAAAGGGAAGGGTCGGCTTTGTTGGTCGCGGTTTCCAAATACCCGCGTCTGGGAAGCAACAATGACAAACATATGTTGTGTGATGTCGAGGTTGGGCATCACCTGGTCGTGCATAATCCTCACGCAACACAGTCAGCCAGCCAGCCATCCACGAACGTTCTCCCCTTTGTCTGCTGGCCTGTAAACTGTGTCTCTGAAACTAGTTCCACAAGTTACTCTTATACCTTGCGCCACATCCACGCTGCAAAGACCGCTCAGCTTGGAGTACAGACTGCGTCCCCGACCACCCCCCCTCCGCCGTTTCATGCCGGATCGCCGCAGCCGGGGTGGGGGGGGGAGGCAGCCGTGCACTTCGGCCGCGGTGTCACCGTGAAGAGCGCGCCGTTTTAGGCATTTGCATGTGTTTATACAGAACCGGACTGCGTCCTGTGGTGCAGTGCCTCGGGCTCGAGGTGGCCGATCTTAAGCAAGCACTTGTGAGTGACCGAAGGCGAGACAAGACGTTAGTAAGCCGCAATACGTATGCAAATGGAAGGAAGAAGCTCCATCGGGGGAGAGTATTGGTCTACATCGCGGTGACTTGCTCTCCTAGACTTTCATACACTTCCTACTGACGCCATGGACAAGCCAATCTAACACCCGAGAAGGGTCTGATGACTGGCTTTGCTGTAGGCTTTCCGCACCCGCCCTCTACTTCTGCGTGAAATGCCAGAAACCTCTCCGGCTACTTAGCTTACCATCCAGCAATATTCAGGGGCTGAGTCTCGGGGGGGTCGGGGTTGAGTTGGATAATCTTCACGAGCGTCCAGAACGGCAAGTCGGGGAGTCAGGACTGACTTGCATCTGAACGTGGAGAGAGCAAGGTTCATGATGTGCCCTACGTGCCCCCCCGTCCGGAATGGTTCATATGTACGTTTCTCGCTAAGAAAGGGGATACAGGGAAGAAGAGAACAGGACCCGGACTCCAACTCGACACGTGTACCATATTGAGCCGACTGCTGGTGCCTGGCGAATGCTGTTGGCCGCGAGGTATCGGCATCAACACGGCCAGCGCGCGGCTCAGAGCTTCCTTGTTGCATCTAGTTGGTTATTCGATACGCAGGATCGGTAGAGGTCCATCGTTCTTTTCGCCGGCGAGACGAGCTACTTGGACACAGGCGACAGGTCCGCGGTCAGAGCCACCCCATGATACCATGACAAGCTCCCACGCCCGGTATACACCTATGGTCTGCCCTGCCCCGTGTGTGTGTGATGCTGGTAGCTGTGCCCGCATTGGCTTCCGGAGGCCGGGCCGGAGAGGGAAAATGGGGTCTCGGCGCCAGTCTTTGCAAGCGAACGTCCTTGGCCCAGCAGCCTCCATGCCGGCCGAACTTGCAGAGCCCGGTCCGGTACGCGACCCTGGCGGATGAGTCCCGGGTCGTCGCTCAATACGTTTTCAGCCGGGCAGCGCCAGACTGCCCGGCTGGGCAGAAGAGGGAACAAGGGGCCGCAACCTTGCTGATTTAGGCACCGCTTGTCCGGAAATATCAAGTCGCAGTGGGATGGGGAGACTCGGAAAGTAAGACGCCTGCTTTTCTGCCCAAGAGGCTTTTCATCGAGTTGAACAGCTAGTTGTTAGAATGTAGTCAGTTGTGGGCATCAGCACAGCGTTCTTTTGGCTAGAACATTTGCCTTGAACTCGACAAAGACCTATCACAAAACGTCTATTTACATCCATAGAGCAACCAAAAGCCCCGACATTCGAATGCCGCAGCGAGAGACCTCGATAGATGTTTTCCACTAGTCCTCCCACCCGGTAGGCTTTGCCTACCCGTCAACTCAAGAAAACACGAGCCTAGTCCTCGTCAACAGTTCCTCTCGCCATCGATATAACCAACTGCCGAAGCCTGCCTCGCGTGCGCAAGGGCTGAAGCTCCCATCATCCACACAACCTCATTTTCGCCTGCCCCTGTTCCATTTTCAGCTTTGCGCATCCAAATCCGCCCCCGGCTCATTCACTCGCCGCCCGATCCCGCGCGCAACACACCACCACCACCATCATAAATCATCTACTTGAGCAATGAAAATGATTGGATAGCTTTGCGTTTTGCGGCGCACACAACACGCCGCCACGCCTGTCATCGATCGAAGCCGCCCTTTCGTGGGCGCACTAGATGTGAGCCCGATGTGACGCACGACCAAACCGGCAATGGTAAAAACGGATAGGCCACTCAGCTTGTTAGACTTCCAAAGGTTTTTTTAATCGATTATTGGCACTTTTCCGTTCCCGCCCTCTCTCTCTTTTCTCGGGCTGCGACTCATGTGCTAACGATTAGAATTACGACGGCCTCGTAAGCGTCTCGGCACTCGCCTCTCCAGGAATAGCGTGACTGCTGATGCATGTTCACGAAAGTACGACGACTAGTTATATAAAAAAAGACTGGCCTCTTCCCTGCTGTGGAATCGTATTTAATACACTTCACTTTTTTGCCATGCAAAATATGCCCAAGTACAGCTAGTCTCCCCAACCCCTGCGCTCTTCATCGCATCAAGTGACCCTGTCAGTACATAACTCTGGGAAAAAAAGCTCCGATGCAAGACATGCCCGCCCCGGGGCGTACTTCTTCATCCCAAGATCGTACATCCGGCCATCTCAGCCTCAAGTCTTGCGTGGCTCGGTGCAGCCACACAGCCTCACGGCATTCCACATCGGCAGCTCCTACGGGCGCCACCAACGGTTTGCCTTATACGTGCTGGAAATACACAAGATAAGTTGGTAAATGTTTTTTGAACAGTAGGAAACTGCATATTGCAGACAAAAGTATGTACTTAAATGGGGGTGTATCGTTAGTAAAGCGCTTGGAAAAAGTTCGTCGCCGAGCCCTTGTAATGCATGGTGCTACCAACCCAATGCCGCCGTCTCTTGCCATATAATCAATCTTGTTTGAAAAAAATTAAAAAAAGTTTTCATCATCATAAAATAGTCCCGTGGCTATTTTTTTTAAGCCCAAACAAAACGCCATGATTTGCTTTCATGCTCTTCGCTCCCCTGCCATGCGCACAGTTGCGACCGTGCCACGGCGATCCCGTAACTGTCGCAACAACGGGGTTCCAGGAAAAGCTTCTTCCCCAGGTATTTGCCTCCGCCAAATGCAATCAATATCTCATCTCCTCGGGCGTCACTGTCGCACCGTAAAATCCACCCTCGTGCCCACCCGATGCTGCACAGGCTCGACATACTCCGCCACCGTAGACGCGTGTGTGGCGAGTCCAGCCGTGGCCGGCTTCGTTGACAACAGAAATGATTTCGCCTCGGACTCCCACGTTGCGATGCGGTGTATCGTCATCGTGGGCTCGGATTTGACTTTGCGACCCGGGAGGCGGTGGTGGAAGCACCGGGCTCAAGTGAAATGAGCCAGGACCAAAAGCCTGGCGTGATGCACCATCCTCGCCGTCAGGCAGGGGAGCTCCCATAGTAACCGAGCTCATGTAAGAGTGAGCATCTGGAGTAGGTTGCAAAGGTTGAAAGGGAGTCGACGAAGTAGCCGACATGTAGTCCGGGTTGGGTTGGCTGATAAAACCGTCGACATCCTCATCGCAGGCAAAGATGGTACTGCTGAGCTCGGGCGGTGTCAGCGGAGGGGCAGGTCGCAGCCTAGTGAGAAAACGTCTTTGCTGGCGTCCGGGCAATGCGCGGTGTGCAGCAAAAGGCTTCGAACCATCAGAATCGTCGGCGCTGCCGCGCTGCTCCGTAGAGTCGGGGTCGCAGTAGGAACGGGGCATTGTGCCCATTTTGCCGTCCAGTATAGGCAAAGGCGGCTGCGCCTGCTCTTGCGTTTCTTGCGTGTGGGAGGAGCAGCGCGCTCTGGACATGTGTCGCCAAGAAACGCAGCGCTGCAGGCAGAATCGTACAACTAGTAAGAAGCACAAGACGGCGAGGCCAGTTTGAATAGCTGTCATGGTGGGCTGCGCCGAGTTAAAAAACAACGGCCGGCTGGCTGATGTCTGGCCGTGTAAGTCGCCGGGATTTGTCGCAGCCATCATGAACTACGCCAAGCTATTTCTGGAAACCAACGCTGGGCCGGGGTATGCACAAATGCCTAGCAGAGTCCAGCTGCAAGGAACCGCAGGGGTAGTGTCGCAGCGATGGCCTGTAAGTCTGACACTGCGTTGGGCGAAGCAGTTTCGATGGTGGGGTGTTGTGCTGAGATGCGGATCCGCTGGCTGCGCCTAGACCGAAGCCTTGGTGACTCGGCCACGTCGTCCTGGTTGACTGAGTTTTGCTTGTGAAGCTGAAGAAATGAGTGAATGAGTCTGTCCGAGATGAGAGTCGGGCCAAAGTTGTAAGACGTCCCGTCTTTTGTTGTCGAGCCGGTATGTATGTGGTGACAAATCGTCGTACTCGTAGAAGTCGCGGGGCCAAGTCGGTGGTGTATAAACCGGGTTGATGGTATTCCAGTCCGATCAAAAGGTAGCCGTTCGCAAAGGACAGAGTCGATATTTCGAGACAGGGCTCCACGCATGGGGTGCTACAGGAATATATATCTTGCATGGGCGGCTCCAAAGGGCAGCATGGTTTTGGGCGATTTGACAGAAATGGAGCTACATGAATCTTGCAACCAAACCATTCCGCACTTGAGGGCATGGCGCGGCGCGCTAACACTCAATTCGAATCAAAGGCAAAGGGGTTCAGCTGAGCCAGCAACACACGGTTGGCAACTGGTCACCAAGGTGGGGTGGCAGTAACAACTTTCGGAGCCACTGTTCAGCAGCGCGCTGGAGTGACCGGAGGCTAAGGTTAGGAGAACTGAGCAGTTAGTTTGCTAGCCTGCGGCCACTGGCCAGCACAATCTGTCCAGACTGGTGGCGGGTCAGGCCAGATGTGTGACAGTGTGAGACTGGTGGCGGGCAGTGGCGGTACACGACTGTTCCTGCTATTCCAGCAATAATAAGAGAGCAGCTTATGAATTTTTGGGTTTGGGCCTGAGCTGTCGCTTGGAACAGAGCTTCTCCGCTAACTAGCAGGGTGAGGATTGGGACCAGGTGCAGGAGAGCATCCCTGTTTTCAGCGGCGGATGTCGTCGAGGTGGTGCAGGCGGCGGGCTCTCGCTGCAAAATGGGCAGCTGACTCGGATGGTGAGCTACAGTCCGTCTTGGAAATCGGCCCAGTCGCGACTCGCAACTCAACGGCGGATGCGCTGCGTAGCAGAGAGGCTCATATCTCGCTGTTGGGTAGCAATCGTGGGGGGCCGGGTTCTGACCTTGCTTTTGCATGCTGCGGTACGGAGTACGGATACGATTTCCACCATCCATATGCACTCCCATCCCTGGCGGTTGAGGATCCGGGAAAAGAAACAACGACCAATGTCATTCGCGCCAGACCGTTGAAAATTTACGATGGGTGGCGAGTTCAGCTGAAGTGAACAAGCGGTAGAGCCACCGACCCTGTCAAGACCTCGACCGACCACAGCCTAGAGCCCATCGACCAATCGCTTTAGGGCAAGTCGCGCAGCCTTGTGGAGCGAGGGGCAGACGAGTTTCGCCAGTTTCGCCATGTGTTCCGTTTTGCGGGCACAGGCACTAGTTAATGATACTAAGAATACCATAGGTAGCTCATCGGCCCCCCAAGTCAATGTCTTGTCACAAGTTGTCCGCGGCGACAACAAAGGCGGCAAGCCATGTTTGTATGTAGCAGTCAGTACCTTGCCAAACTCGGGGCGTGATGGGGGTTGATGTTGGCTGCACCTGCGTTTCCGGAGATTCAGCCGGCGGCTGGGATATGGATATCTCAACAGCTGCGTGCAAAGCTTTTTAGCTCGACTTGCAGGCACGTTGTGGCCCGATTTGTGTCCGGACCACGCGAGGGCGGATCGGCCGTCATGCCGCTCCTCGCAATTCCGCACGCACAATTGCATTCACTCAATCGTAGGTCCCGTTTTTTAAGACTCGACTCGTCTGCGACTGGTCTGCTGGCCGGCCGGTGTTGGCTTTGGCTGGTCAAGGCAAGCGAGTGTAATGTCGCGATGAGTACTCATGGCCCATCATGCAGGTTTCTCTTAGCGAAGTGCAGCCCATACATGATACGACCAAGCTTGTCATCGCCTTGGCGTCATGGATTATCCATGCAGTGTGAAGATGTGACGAGACGTTTGAAAATGACACAACTTTGCGCTCGCACATGCAGCCAGCATAATGGGAAGAGATAGATATTGGGGTTAATTAATGCAGATTCGATCTCCGGAGCCGGAGCAATAGGGCTTAACCGTGGTGGGCGTATCGCAAGTAGTTAGGCTTTCCGTCACGCGAGAGCATGCACCCTGATGCAGTGTTTTGCGGTGGCTTGATTTGACAAGCATGCAGAGAGAGACAAGGTAGCTGCAAACTGGCCGATGATCAAGCTGCGAGCCAAAACTTTGCCCAGCCAGGCTCGGGTCGTGTGTGCGTGGCGCGACCTGCAGCGAAGACGGTAGCTGAAAATGACGCTGAGTGGGGTGGCCATGCTGGAACAAGTCGCTGTCACTGGTCGCTTGAGGCGGGTGCCAAAGTCACGAGTGAAGCCCAAGAATGCAGTCGTACATTTCTCGCCTCCTTATCAGCTAGGTTTGCCCCTGCTGTGTGTGAAATCTGCGTACTGGTGCTGGTACATATGCTGTGGTCCGTCCTGGACTGAGTACGGAGGCTGTCGCGCACTATTGAGCGCCCGTCTGCACCTGCAGGTTGCGAGGCACGTTCGGATCGCACCCCGGCGGGTTCAGCAGGGCAGCGGTGTGCTGACAGCTTTATTATTCCAGGCGCGCTCGTTGGACGGCGGCCGAAATGCCTCGGGTAGGGTGAAGATCGAGAGCAGAGCTGGTCGGATGAAGCCTGTCGATATACCTTGCTGGGCGCGCAGCTAGCGCACGTTGAGGCTAGCTAGCAGAGGGAAGCAGTTGACCAGCAGGAACAATAAGTCCGTGTGCACACGCCCTGATGGTCTTCAATGCGCCTCCGGGCAGCCTCCCGCAGTTGGCGGCTTCGATGGTTGGCAACTGAAATCGGTAAAACGAAGCCCATCACTTGCGTCGGCAGGAGCTAGTCCCACAGATCGCCGACGCCACCCAACCCTGACCAGCTGAGTCGACAGCTCTGGCGGGGGTGAGAATTTAGAGTCTCGCTGGACTCGTCTGTCTTGGTAGGTAGCGCGGCCAGGAAGAGCAACTGTTTGCGGCGAGAAATGATTAGTAAGTAAAAGACACAATGAAACGATGGATGATTGCAATTTGGATATAACCTTTAGTCCACTGCCTTTTCCACATGGATGGTGACAGAGACAGAGCAAAGCATCCTGTCTCACACCAATGGTGAAAAATTACACCTGGCTCGAGCGCCTTCTAGAAGAACAATGGAGACTGAGGCGAGCAGCGGTCCTTGGCACCGTATTGCCAAAGCTTAATTCTGTGACGCAACAACATGGTAGCGAAATGCGTCATTGCTGATATATGATGGAAATGCTGGTAATATTATAAATGTACAAGTAAGCAGCAAGTTAGTGGAAATGAAAGGGGACGTCCATACCAGGGTCCGTTGGACCGAGGAGTTCGTAGTGGATGCGCATTGACCACCATTGTTCTTGCTCTCTGTTTGTTCTGCCAGCCGCCAGCCGCCGCATCGACAGCCAACCGCCAACCGCCAGCTTGGTCAACTGCGTCTCCATTCACCAACTGATAAAAAAACAACGCGCAATCTAGTTACTGCGGCATATGACCCATTGTTCCTCCCGAGCCGAAGACTATGCGTGTCCGTCTTTGCCCCCCTTGCCGCGTTATGATCGGGTAATCCGCGTGGAACCCATCGATGTGTCGGTACATCCCGCCTCATGTTCACAATTTGCATGATTTTGTCTTTGTCGTGTTTCATCCATCGATAGGTAGGTAGGTAGTCAGACAGTGCAGCCCGCAGCCGGGGCATATAGCCGAGGCATGCTCCGCTGCTCTGCCAACGGCAAACGACATTCGAGCGCTCCTCTAACTCGCTGGCCTAGACTACCACGTTCTCGGCAATTGACAACAAGAATGGTGTCATGTTTCACTACCTAACAGCTACCCTGCCCCGAGCCCGGATCAAATAGCAGGTCCTATTAACGGGCAAGCAAGCAATATCCATTTGGGGGCATTCATTGCCGCAGGCGGGAGCCCGGCCCGCAATCCCGGCGAGGAAACACCCCAACAGCTAAACTGCCGACATTCAACTTGACAGTTCGGGTCGCACTACATCATATTGTCGCGCTTCTTTGGCTGTTAAAGAGACTCAACGAAGTCCCTCCAGGTCCATCTTCATCGTGCCCTGCACTTGCAGATCCGGTTTGTCCTGCCGTCAGCTAGTGGTCGCGGCTCCTGGGCAGTTTAGTGCCGCCAGGCCGTTGTCCCGAGGCTACTCTCTGCCGGACATCTTCACCCTCCCGCCCAACATCGACGAACTGCCGCGTTTTTGACTGGGATGCTTCCATAAGCACGGGTTGCCCCTGCCATTCGATAGACGTGCGAGGGTAACTTTGCAACTAGCTATCAGTATTCCTTCCGGGTATTTGACCAGCAGCTGCCCGCATGTCACCTCCGTGGTCAGGATGAGTCTCTGGCTTAATTTTGCTCCTTTCGCTTTCCATGAAGCAAAGGTACAGAACTGTTCCGTTAACCATCAACACCTTCATTGAACATGTTTAGTCTTTACTTCATCCTCACCACGTTGACGACCCTCGGCCGGGCTGCTGGGGTACGTGGTCTTGGCCCTTTGCTTCCCAGCCAAGACGAGTTCTACACAGTGCCCCCTGCCGCCGAGCTTGCCGCAGTGCAAAACGGGGACATTCTCCGATGGCGAACGACGCCGCATCCCATCTCAGCGCTGGGCATCAAGCCGCTCAACCTCCAAGGCGAGTACCAGGCGCTGTACAAGACGGTCGACAGCGTCGGCGCCGACACGGCAACAGTCCTTAGCATCATGGTCCCTCACAACGCCAACATGAGCAAGCTGCTGTCCTACCAGGTCGCCGAGGACGCCGCCTACCTCGACTGCGCACCTTCGTACGCGCTGCAGCTCGGCTCCCAGAGCAAGCTGTTTGGCACCATCCTCACTGAGGCCGAGCTCGCGCTCATAGATGCCGCCCTGCAGCAAGGTTGGGTCGTGGTCGCACCCGACCACCAGGGGCCCCGCGCCGCCTGGCTGGCCCGTGCCAACGCCGCCCATGCCATTCTCGACGGCATCCGCGCAGCAACCCGCTCCGGCCACTTCTCGGGCATCGAAAGTACCCCCACCATTGCCCTCTGGGGCTACTCGGGCGGCGGCATCACGTCCACGGCCGCGCTGGAGCTGCGCGCCCAGTACGCGCCTGAGCTGACCACGATTGTCGGCGCGGCCCTGGGTGGCCTCGCACCCGACATTCAAAACGTCATTACGACCTGCAACAAGGGCCCCTACGCCGGCATCATCGTTAGCGGCATCATGGCCCTGTGCAGCGAATTCCCCGCGCTCCAGGCACTCGTGGACAGCCACCTCCGTCCCGAGTACAAGAACAAGTTTGAGCGCACACGCACCCAGTGCATCGTGCCCACCGCCGCTGACTGGTTGTTCCAAGACGTGCTGGCGAGCTTTGACAATGCCACCGCGCTGCTGGCACGGCCCGACGTGCGCCGCCTGCTGCAGGACAACAATCTGGGCGGCCGCGGCATGCCCGACGTGCCCGTCTTCATCTACAAGGGCGTCGCCGACGATCTTTCGCCGGTGGCGGACACGGACGCGCTCGTCGACTACTACTGCGCCCATGGCGCCCCTTCCCTGCAATACTACCGGGACCTGACCGCCAACCACGGCGGCATGGCCGTCGCGGGCGCCGGGCGCGCTGTGGACTTTTTGCGTGCTGTCATGAACGGCGAGGCGCAACCTAGTGGCTGTCACCGCGAGACGGTCGCCTCTGGCTACTTTGATATCCGCGGCAGCAAGCACATCCCTAGCTACGTCATCAACCTCTTGCTAGATCTGCTGGGCAAGCCGGTTGGCACGTTCACCATTGGCTGACAGATGAGGAGGATCTAGATATTCCTTGCACAAGTAGATAAATAACCACTTTTTGCTACTGTTGCCACGTTTTTCTTAGTGTTGAAACAAGCCGTCCCCCGTAATGCAGCCGTAATAACCCCTTCGGGTATTGTGGCTGTAAGCCGCTTCTCGGGATATCCGCCGCCCGTGCGCTGCGCTGGTTCCATCTGGGCAGTTTGTAATCTATATGTAATCTACGCAAGGCTGACGGAATCTTGAACGCTTCTGGTAAGCCGTCTATCGGGATATGCTATCGGGATATGCTAGGGGGGGGTGGTCGTTCGATGGCAGCTCACCCTCAAATTTCGCCGTAGGAAGCCTCCACAGTGGTACGACGGCGCGAGCGAATTTTATTCCCATCGCCGAACGCACGAGTCGCGGCCGAGCGATATGAGCAGTCATTTCATGATTCCTTTTTTTTTGTTTGACGTGAAGAAAGATCTCATTTATTACGGACGAACGGGTGGGCGTATCGATTTGACAGTAATTGATATAATTGGAAAGGTAAAAAAAGAAAAGAAAACTACGAACCACAGGAATCATGATACCAACCCATTCCATTACGCCACATTCAGCGCCTTTCCCAATAGTTGTGTGTTTTGTCCTTGAACGCCGCCGAAGCAAAAACAAAAAAAATAGTTAGAAAATCCAACACGGGAAAACAGAATAGAGACAACGGAGTCATTACATAATAGAATCGCGTCTGCTGGTATATAGAAAAGAAACAAGAGGAATGGCAAGACAAAAGACAGTGTTTTTTGACGCCACATCAATTTCATATGACGACGCCCATGTCTATGGGCTCCGGCCCCGCCGTCGAGCCGTCTCGGTCTTGCAGATCGCGCTCCTCCTCCATGAGCTCAATAATGCTGTCGATGTTATTGTCAAAGCTCTCGCCGTCCTTGGGGTCGAGGCAGCGCTTGAGCAGCTTGCGGTACTTTTCAATCTTGTCGCCGACGCCGACCATGCTGAGGGCGTCGACGTACTCGGTCTCGGCCATGCGCTGCTCCGTGAGCATGTGGCTGAGCTGGCGCGCCAGACTGAGGCGTTCGTCGTACGACTCGTCCTGGCCGGCGGTGCCGTTGAAGCGGCTCAGCTCGCCGTCGACGGCCTGCGCAATATACAGCCGGTTCTGGTGGGTGATGAGCGACAGCACCTGGTGCTTGGCGAGGTTGGCCTCGTTCATGATCTTGGTGGCGACGTCGTCGGGCTCGAGCTGCGTCTCGAGATCGGCGATTTGTTGGTGGGCGGCGTGCAGCTCTGTCTGCGTGTTGCTGAGGATGCGCTGGGCTTCTGTCTCGGCCACATTCTTTTCGTGCCACTCTTCGTCGTAGCTCTTGGCCAAGTCTTGGAACTTTTCTAGGATCAGAGGCGAGATGCGGGACTGCACTGTAGTGGCCGCAGCAGACTGGAACTGCTGGGGAACCTTTTTGGACGGCTTGTCGGCGAATACGTCCTTGAAAGACGCGTGTCGTTGAGAGTCGGGAGCATATGGCGACGAGGAGCGTTGTGGGCCACGCTCCTTCTTGGAAGCATTCAGCTCCGCGATCATGTCCTCGGCTCGAACGCCTTCGTGGTTGGGAATATCAGAGGATGCATTACGGCCCAGCAAGGCGCGAATACACTTGCGGGCATTTCTTTGGGTGGCTAGATGGAGGGCGGTGTTGCCGTCACTATCCTGGACATCGAGCAACTGCTGGAAAGCGCTATGCTCCATGGTCTCCTGCAGACGGTTGAGAATAATGTCCAGGTAGTAGCGTGAGCATGATGGGCTGAAAACGCGGCCATTCTTCATGACGGCGGCGTGGTGAATAATGGTGCATCCAGCATTGTCCCGCGCCTCAACAGTTTCGAGGAGCTCTTGCATGACGGCAGGGAATGTCTGCTTCTCGTAGCAGTTGGTAAAATTAACGCATCGCATGAACGGAGTCTCCCCGCGAATGTTCTTGACTGCAATGCCGGCGTTGAACTTTTTGAGCTGTCTGACGACGTCGACGTCGCCCATCGCGCAGGCCCAGTGGAGAGCGGTGTGATTTTCGGCGTCAATGAGCCAGTTTGGCTGAAAGTTGATCGGGGGATCGGGCTTCACTGCTGGCTGCTCATTCCTGGAGAGCAAGAAGTAGTCCAAGAGTTCGTCGCCATACATGCCATGCTGTTGGTCTGTGACATCTTGCGGGTCCTCCCTCTTGCGCTTTCTATTGCCAGTGGACATCTGAGCCAAGTCATAGCGATCCTCGTCGGCCATGTGCGATGCCGAGGCTATAGTGAGATTATCGGGCGTGTCGTCTTCGCCCATCATGGCATCGATATTCTCAAAATCATCGCGCATTGGGACGGTGCCTGTGACATCAGCCGGCGCACGCAGGAGCGATTTGTCCGGCTTACTGGCACCCCATTTTTGGCAGCGGGGGTTTCACTTTGGGTGCCTTGGGTTTGCTGGCATGCCGAGGCGCGGGAGGAGGGCTCTCATTGCCGGGGACATATTCGAAGATGGGTCGCAAGCGGTCGTAAATACTATGTCGCTGGGCGAGAGCCTCGCCACTTTCGAGGGGAATCCAGGTTCCTATTTTGTGTGAGCTGGGGTTGTGGTGTCATCTGTATGGGACTGACCTTGATATTTGCCGTAACCGCCCTGGATCTTTTCGTGTACATCCTTCTGAACGTCGCGCTCCAGGATTCTTGTGCGCGCGGGCTTGTCGAAGCCTGCGGCCTTTAGTATATGTGTAGCGTTGATCCATTCGTCATGCCTCCTTCGCATGACATGCTCCTTCAGTTCAAGTCCAAATTGATATTCGTAGACGGGGACCTGGATATGCGGTTAGCAATGCTTGGCGCAGGCGTCACTTGGCTGATAGAAAGATGCAAGGCATCTGAGGCCAGAGAACGAGTCACGAAGCACCGTCAGATAAGTCCAAATAGTACTCACACCGCTGTATGTGGCACTGTAGATGCCCGGGCCAGTGGGAGCTGGCGGCGGAGGGGCCTTGACCATCTTGTCGCTGGGCAGGGTTATGGCAGGCAATATGGGGATGGTGGTGAGGCGTGGAATAGAGCAATTGCGCGTAGCTGGGAGCTGCTGGGGTAAAAATGAGGGGATACTGGCAAAAGAAATATGCTGGTGGGAGTTGTTGCCCAATCCAAGAGACCAGTCCACCCGGCATCAATTGCTCCTTTGGGCTTGCTGCAGGCTTTTGAGATGGAAGCTGTGCGAATTGCTGGCGGCACGTCGTCGACGCGGTCCAGCGAGGGAGAGACGCGCAGCGACGCGAGTCAACTTTAAGTGGTTCGTGCCTGAGGCGAGCCATCGGGGGAGAGCTGCACGTGATGTGACATGCAAGACCTCCTGAAGGGGGGGCGCTGTGAGCCAATAGGCCCAACACCAACGTGAGTGGCTCTTGGGGTGGGAAGCTCCCTGGTATGCAATAGGCCACGGTTGATCAAGAGACGAGACAATTCCTGGAAAAAAACACCAAATTTGAGCGCCACGAACCCCCTGAAAATAGATTGCGACGAGTTGGCATTTGCGACCATACAACGACAACTCATATACAGCTGTTTGCTGTAAGTGGGCGGTAAAGCCCCGAAGAGGCGGGATACGCTCTCAGTACTAGCTCTGTTGGCATCCCCTAGCGAAGCGGTCGAGAAACCTGGCGTCCGTCGCACGACAGAAACGACGGCAAGATGACGGAAATTTTACACAACGCACCCATTGTGCTGGACAATGGCTCGGGCACGATACGGGCGGGCTTTGCGGGCGAAGACCTGCCCAAGTGCGTGTTCCCCTCGTGGGTCGGGCGACCCAAGCACCTGCGTGTGCTGGCCGGCGCGCTCGAGGGCGACGTGTTTATCGGGCAAAAGGCGGCGACGGAGCTGCGGGGTCTGCTCAAGATTCACTACCCGCTGGAGCACGGCATCGTGACGGACTGGGACGACATGGAGCGGATATGGGAGTACGTGTACGGCGAGGGGCTCAAGACGTTGAGCGAAGAGGTATGTGCAATGGTGCCCGAGTTGATGGAAGACGGCTAACAAGAAGCAGCACCCGGTCCTCCTCACCGAACCGCCTCTGAACCCCCGAAGCAACCGCGACACGGCGGCGCAGATCCTATTCGAGACGTTCAACGTGCCGGCGCTGCACACGTCGATCCAGGCGGTGCTGTCGCTGTACGCGAGCGGGCGCACGACGGGCATCGTGCTGGACGCGGGCGACGGGGTGTCGCACGCGGTGCCTGTCTACGAGGGGTTCGCGATGCCGAGCAGCATTCGCCGCATTGACGTGGCGGGCCGCGACGTGACCGAGTACCTGCAGACGCTGCTGCGCAAGAGCGGCTACGTCTTCCACACGAGCGCAGAGAAGGAGGTTGTGCGGATCATCAAGGAGACGGTGTCGTATATCGCGCCGGACCCGCGAAAAGAGGAGCGCGAGTGGCTGGGCGTCAAGGCCAACGACTCCAAGTATGCGGAATATACACTGCCCGATGGGCACAAGCTCAAGGTACGGCGACATGCAAGGGTGGGTGAAATATTGGACAAGGCACTGACAAAAGACAGATTGGGGCGGAGCGGTTCCGGGCGCCGGAGATTCTTTTTGACCCCGAAATCATCGGGCTCGAGTACCCTGGCGTGCACCAGATTGTGGTGGACGCCATCAACCGGACGGACCTGGACCTGCGCAAGTCGCTGTACAGCAACATTGTGCTGTCGGGCGGCAGCACGCTGACCAAGGGCTTCGGCGACCGGCTGCTTACGGAGCTGCAGAAGCTGGCGGTCAAGGACATGCGCATCAAGATTTTCGCGCCGCCGGAGCGCAAGTACTCGACGTGGATCGGCGGCAGCATTCTGGCTGGTTTGAGCACGTTTCGCAAGGTATGCATGTTGTGGGTGTTGTTTTTTGCAGAGACTGTACTGACGGGAAGCAGATGTGGGTGAGCATCGACGACTGGCATGAGAACCCGGACATTATTCACACCAAGTTTACATGAAGCAGAGTGCTTCACTCTGTTGTGAGGGGACGCTATAAAAAGGCCTAAACAGTGCATGGAACAGCATGTATTTGGACAGCGGATATCAATGTACATTTAGAGAGCTTGTGGTGGGACGAGAGAGGGAGGGTCACTTTTTTTTGGCGAGGAAGATTAATACGATACCCTGAGTTGTACGATGAGGTTGCGTCTATGAGTGACTGTTTACAAATGTGACGATGAGTTGGTGACGAAGAGAATGGTTAGGTGTGTTGGTAGTCACGGTGAGGAAAAGAAAAAGAGTGGACGGTTTGTTCTTTTGGCTAGAATGATGCCATTGAGGAATAGTATTATTGATATCGTGTGTGTATTTAGGTACGTGTTGAGCATGTATGGGAAATGGCGAAGGCGTTGGTGCGTTTTGCGTGCTACAGGAGCACGACTCCACTCGCAGTGTCCATGCCCTGAGTTTGTGGGCGTAAATGTGTAAATGCAAGTCAGACTTTTTTTTCCCGAGCCCCCCAAACGCCGTATGCTGAAACAAGGAGAAAACAATAATGGGAGAGGTTGTGTAACATGTCCAATGCCACCCAGTCGTACATGGTTTTGTACATGAGAAAAGCCCAAGAAAATCCCAAAAGGAGCCATCATGGCCCGTCATAAAGCAACAAGACGCTCTTTCCCATCCCAAAAGAGGGGTATCGCGCTTTTGAAAATGCATCTGTTTCCAGGCTCGCCCATCACGAGCGAGCAAAGCTGCCGCTGACGCGCGCCGCCCACCCCCGGGCCCTGTCGGCGACGCTGCTCGCGCCCGAGCTGCCGCTCAGCAGGCTGGCGTCGTCGTCGGCGCCGTACGCATAGGCGTTGCCGGCGCCGCCGCGGCCGGCGTAGCCGACCGGATGGCGGTCGCGGGCGGCCGCGCGGCGGACATCGAGCTGCAGCGCGTGGGCGCGAGGAGCGGGCGC